GTATTTTCAAATTTAGAAATATGTTTATATATACATGTACATGTGATAATAAGAATAGAAACGCTAAATGGTATTTCTAAGAACGATAACTCTACGTCTTTTCTCCTAAAAGATGGAAAATTCAATTCATCGCCAAATTCGTTATACCGCCATGATTTCTAAATTACAAAAGGTGGCGGTTTATCGAGAATTAACTGTACTTCAAAGCTATGATTAGTGATATTTATATGGAATCATCCTCAGGTAGTGTAGATTCTAGTTTGTTCAAATGATGAACGCCTGGAGGGGGGGGGATAAATTCAAGCCCGATGTGCTCAGGTGAGCGCTGTGGCCCCTGGGCCTCTTGTTTTTTTTTTTTTAAGTTTCATTGCACAGCATATTATATACCGTATAAGTGGAAATTTTAGCGAGTCGCAAATTTAGCGATTTGTCCTTAAAAACTGGTAATTTATTTTTAGCGAGATGTTAGTTTAGTGATTTTAAATGCATATCAAAGAATCTATTACAAATAAAACACTATTAGTTTTTAGCGATATTCAATTTTAGAGATCTCAAAATCCTCGCTAATAATGCCAAAATTAAATCCTCGCTAAAAATTCTACTTAAAAGGTATACAAAATTGTACTATAATGTACGATACTCCAATGGCAAGGGTTATTCTTTAACAGTCTCAAGCAAAATTTTAAAACATATCAATCTTTTCTTACTACATAGATTGTAAATCCTGTAGTGACCCTTGTGTTTGGTATTAAAGAATCTTGCAACTTCCTGAAAATGAAAGTTAAAAATATATGAAAAGGGCTATTAAAAGCTCCTCTTTGTACATGTACATTTATATCCAGTTAGTTTAAAGATTTTGTATCATAAGCAATAACTATATTAAAAAAAAATTATTTAGGTAGTTAAATCATGATATATTTTTTCAAGGATAAGGAAGCATTTTCTTACATGGACACTGTTGCGATACATGGCCATCATTCCCTTTGATGGGAAGGACATAGCAATCACTCGCTCTGCAATCATTGAATGGAAATGTTATGGGGCTTCAAGCATTTTAAACATTTTATGCTAAATACCTGTATACATGTCAATAGAAGTTTTACAAAGAAACTGTTAAAATATGCAAATATAATTTTTTTTTTAAATCACAGAATTTTAAGTTTTCAATTAAGCATATTTTCTAGACAGGAAGATACATGTAACCAGTAACTTGAAGGCAAAGAAAAAAAATAAGTTTATGCTTATCCTTCAATAATAATTCATTCAACAGAATTTTCTCTTTAATTGTCAAGGTAAAATGTTTTAAAATTTTAAAACAAACCAGTAATATAGCACAGATCCAAATCAAATCCGTCTCTCTGGTATCGCCGCTTGTTTTGTGAAACAATTCTCCTGGAAGCTGTGGCTATGTGTCTCTTTTGCTGAACCATTAAAAATATTATCCTGGCAATTCGTAATATCCTTACTACACGACCAATAATCAACAACCTATATAAAAGCAATGTCTTTACTTTCTAATTGCAACTGCAAGATATGCTTCATGGTTTCTTAATTCATTAATTATCAAAAGTGATTTATTTCATGGTATATAAATTAATTCATTATAGATATACATATACTACATTTATTGAGAATATTCTGTGTAACTGTGTTAACAAATGCATTTATTTTAAGTTACTTTTTATTTAATGAAAAATACCTGGTATATAACATAATTACGTGAAATTAACTATATGACAAAAACATTTTGAATTGCATGAATATGAATTTATGTTGCTGATCAACGGGAATGAAAGTATTATGATGCATATTGTACACTGTATGCAGAAACACATACTATCTGTACTTACTTAGCATAATTATTAGCACAAGAAGTTCCTTCTGCAATAACTAGAAATGTGACATCCACAATAAAAGAGATGGTGACCACACCTATGTCCACCAGCTCTAACACACGGCATTCTGTCAGCAATAATTTCCTGAAAGACATAGAATGTTTAAATATATTTGTTTGACATAAAAAAAATACTTGAAAATGATGGTGTACAAATGTGATAAAAACATGAACATAATGCACATTGTATTTTTTTCAATGGGCATTATTAGTTATTCACAAAATTGAGAATGATAGGAATAATCAACACCTGTATGCAATATATTTCAAAGCTTCATTATTCTGGTTATTGCAAACTTTAATAAAAGGGCAATGACACTTATTCTGTTAAACTGTATTAGCTTTTATAATTAGCATTGGGTTTCCATAAATAAGATGGCTACATGTACCTGTCTTGAAGCAAATACTCGAATCAGATTCTATGTGGTAAATATTACATTAATTAAGGTAGCAAACATTTTTAAAAATATTTATCAATTCCAAGATTTACTGGTATTTCTGTTTAAACATATACAGTTTGTATTTGTTCTGCAAAATAAAACAAGAGGCCCATGGGCCACATCGCTCACCTGAGCACTGTGGCTAGGAAAAAGTAGAAATTGATTTATTATTGAAAAGTTTAAATCCAAAAGTAGTCCCATGACCAATCATGACTTTGCTATTCTTGAGAAAAAGATTTTTAAAGAATTTTCCCATATCTTTCATGTAAAACTTTGGTCAGCCATTGTGACCCCGCCCTATCCCCAGGGGTCATGATGTGAACAAACTTGAATCTACACTACCTGAGGATGGTTCCATATAAATATGATCAATTATGGCTTTGTTATTCTTGAGAAGAAGATTTTTTAAGAATTTTCCTTTATATTTCTATGTAAAACTTTGGTTGACCATTGTGGCCCCGCCCTACCCCCGGGGGTCATGATTTGAACAAATTTGAATCTACACTACCTGAGGATGCTTCCATATAAATATGATCAATTATGGCTTTGTTATTCTAAAGAAGAAGATTTTTAAAGAATTTTCCTTTATATTTCTATGTAAAACTTTGGTCGGCCATTGTGGCCCCGCCCTACACCAGGGGGTCATGAATTGAACAATCTTGAATCAACACTACCTGAGGATACTTCCATATAAGTATGATCAATTATGACTTTGTTATTCTTGAGAAGAAGATTTTAAAGAATTTTCCTTTACATTTCTATGTAAAACTTTGGTTGGCCATTGTGGCCCCACCCTACCCCAGGGGTCATGATTTGAACAAACTTGAATCTACACTACCTGAGGATGCTTCCATATAAATATGATCAATTATGGCTTTGTTATTCTTGAGAAGAAGATTTTTTAAGAATTTTCCTATATATTTCTAAGTAAAACTTTGGTTGGCCATTGTGGCCCCGCCCTACCCCCGGGGGTCATGATTTGAAAAAATTTGAATCTACACTACCTGAGGATATTTCCCCATAAGTTTCATCTTTCTTGGCACAGTGGTTCTGGAGAAGAAGATTTTTTAAACATACCACCAAATTTTCATTAATTCCCAATTATCTCCCTTTGAATGAAGGCGTGGCCCTTCTTTGAATAAACTTGAATCCCCTTCACCCAAGGATGCTTTGTGGCAAGTTTGGTTGAAATTGGCCCAGTGGTTCTTGAGAAGAAGTTGAAAATGTGAAAAGTTTACAGACAGACAGCTAGACAGACAGCCGGACGCCCGACAAAATGTGATCAGAAAAGCTCACCTGAGCCGAAGTATGAGCAAGAAAAAAAAATTCCAACTTCATATGAAAATCTCTTCGTGAAAATAATCAATAACGTTTACAGTAAAGAATCATACCCTTGATAGAAAATTCGAAAGAAAACCTCCAGCATAAAGTAGCTTATTAACACATGTGACAGAAGTTCCAAAGTCTCTCTGTTTTTTGAACAGTCATTGTCTGCAAGTTCCACAATGACAAAAATAAAGTCCATAATAATCAGCAATACAGTTACAAGTCTAAATACTATGTGTTCCAGGATGCTTTTTACAATCCACTGCAATCCCCTAAATTTAAGGAAACAGAAAGTAAAAAGAAATTAATTTCACAGTATTATAATCAATATTTTTTTGGAAAAATTATTAATTCTTTGGAAAAATTATTAATTCAAACTCCCATTTTCTCCATAATTTTGAAATGAATAATTTTTTATTTAACCCTTTATAATCTCTAATTTGATGATAGACTACATTTCAATTAAGCATAAATTATTTTCATACATGTCAGAAGAAAACCAACATGATCCCGTAAGAACAGGTAGATGATAAAGGGATATCCCCCTCAGCCTCCCCCCAAAAATTTCCCTGAATATTTCCAATAAAATTGCAATCACTATATGTCTGACAACCATAGTTTTAAATGACCCATACTCGATCCCTGTTCTCGGATTCTCTTTTGCTCCTGGATCCTCCACATATTCAACATCTTCTTTGGCATCTGATTTGTAAATTTGAAGAGTTCCATCATTTGATGCATTGTTATCCATTCTTATTTGTACATCGCCCGAATTCTCCTGACCCCCAGCAGTCTCAGATGTAACAGCAAGCTCTGGGGGCGATTTTGATTCATCATGACTTCCGAACTGTTCATAATTATTCATGTTTCTAAAAAATCCAAATTCCGTTTATCAAATATTTGAAAACAAAGTGACAAACTGCAATATACTCGACTTTATCCATACATGTGAAACTGATAAAAATTATTCACACTTTTTAAAATACTCAGGGGGTGGTTCCCATCATTTGTCGTCTGCTGCCCCCTTATTTTCACTGTCCTATATTTTTGTTTACAATTTAATCTTACCTTGTATTCTGCTAACAAGCATAAAGTTACGTTCTTTAGGAGTTTCTAGCTTTGTTTCTTGGAATTTCAACTGTTTAATCATCGGAAAATCACCAACATTAGTTAATTTGTTGTGTACATCTGTCTCGTCTTCCACCGGAACTCTCCTGTAAATTGGTCTCTTTTTAACATAGGAGAACCAGTCAACAGGTGCCTGTTTTATACGTCGTCTTTGATTGGTGGAATAATTAATCATCGATCCAATCAAAAAACACGTTAGAAGTGAAATGCAGTCAAAATTGTAAATTCGGTCTAGTTTGTTTAGTGGCGGAGGATGAGGATTCTGAAAACATGGAGCAGGTTTTAGAAGCTGTGAAACAGCTGAGTATTAATGATCTCAGACAGCAGTTATCGGATAATGGAGTAAACGTTGGTCCAATTCTACCGAGCACAAAATTAATTTTTCAAAAGAAACTAGCTAGCAAACTTTATGAAAAGCAACATCCTGTATCTGATGCAGTAGATGGGAATAAAGGTGAAAACCAGGTACCTCAAACGAGTGACGATACTCAGGTTAGTGAACAGAAAGCAGAGACTGGACAAGTAAGAGAAGAGTCACCTGTAATAGAAACGGAGGTGTCTGTGTATTATGGAGTATGCCCTCCTCTTGGAGTCTCACTGGAAGAAAAAGAATGTGAGCAAATATTTTAGCTAATAGAGCACACTTTTACTCTCATATTTAGATAGATAAGATGGAAGACAAACAGTTTCATTCTTCAATTCATTGTTCTCCTGACAAAAGTGCTTCCCAGTTAACAGGTCCAGTACAATCTCTTGATTTAGCTATATAGCTTTAAATAGCTATATAGCTTTATTAAGCTATTCAGTATAGCTTAATTTAGCTATTTTACTACACTTTTTTCTTAAAGGTGTAATTTTCTCAGTATGTACAAAAAAGCGCACCTTGGTGCAGTGACGATATACAACTTTGAACTCTTCTTAAAATAGTGCATGTAAAAATCACTCATCAAATTACGTCTCCTTGAGAGACTTTGTACTCAAAGTTCTACAAGTTTTGGGGCTATATAAAGCAATTGATACAGTTACTTCTGCAATGATATTATAATGGAGACCAATTATGTTCAACAAGATAATTGATTGGTAACAGTTCAGCACAATGAGAAGCAATCATACTTATCCTTGCCTCAAGGCACCCAAGGTAGTGGACAGTTAGTCTAACAATAGAAATTTTCTTTTTGCTTAAAAGTATTCAAAAGCTGCAAAGTAAGAACTATCTTTGATTTAGGTTGTTGTTTTGATAACCCATAGTACAAATACGTAGAGTCAGATACATGCGACTTTTTGTTTATTTTCAGCAAAAAACATTTTTGTGAAAAACTGTACATAAATAGCTAAATAAAGCTATTTTGAATAGCTTAATAAAGCCATCTAGCTATTTAAAGCTATATAGCTAAATCAAGATATTGTACTGGACCTGGTTAATTGTAAATATCGCCTACATGTTACTCCTCAAGGGTTTATGTACATGTGAGTTGGACGAAAGGGGCAAATTATTTTAAAAATAAAATGGTTGAAAATTTCCCTGTAGAGATGATGTATCGTAACTTATCTTAATCTTATGTTGCAGGTCAAAGTTTAGTGTTCACTGACAAAAAATTGGCTCTGCAGTCTGTAAAGAAATTCTCAGGAGCCAGGTTCAAATGTTTTAAAAGCAAAGAGGATGCAGAAAAGTTTTCAAAGTTGTCTCCCGATGACATTGCATCACCATGGAAACCAACTATGAAAGTTAATACCTTTTTTAGCAACATTAAGAAAGAAGAAGAAAATAAAGTAAAACATACCTATAGCGCAATGCCAATTTGCTACACTGTAAACATAATTTGTTATAATATTACATTATAAAGTATGCTTAAAGCCCATGAGGATTGAAAATAACTTTGTCATAACTTGTCTTATAGCCTATAAGTGTGGATCATTTTAAGCATGTTCACAATAAGCATGTTTTACATAATACATTTTAATATTCAAAACAAAAAAATATTTCAACATTATTAAAATACAAAAAATTAGCCATACTTTCAATGGTGTTAAAAACCTAATAATTTTTAAAAGTCTTAATTATTATTGATAAAAAAGATTTTTCAATCACTTCTGAAATAGCAATTAATTAGGCATCAGTTTGCAGGGTTCAACATTAACTTTTTTTCCTACGTGTCCAATCGGACAAGTGACCAAGACATTTACTTGTGCGAACTTCAACTTCACTTGTCCGAAAAATTTTCAATAAAAATCTGATAGTTTCAATTTGAAAATTAAAATAAATTCCATTACACATGACACGTGCTTAATTGATTCGTAATGTTATTGATAAATACAACAAACACATTTATGAAACGAAATTTAATCTAGGCTTTCTGTCCTGACAATAAGGCCAAAATAAAATATACTCTTGTTTCCTGTCACCCGACCTACCCTACATTTTACCCTCCGACCCTAAAAGTTTTTTTTCACATTTTCAATTTTTGGGGGCTATTTTTTTGAAATACTAAAGTCGACCAACAATAATTACAGAACTAACACATCACAAGTGTACAGGATACCTTTACTTTATATATCTTTATTAACAAACTTGCTTTGTGAACTGTTAACATACATTCTTGTTATTATATTGAGTTTTGAAAATAAAATTTTTTCTCAAAATAAAATTTTTTTCCTACCTACTTACCCTATATTTTTTGGTCAGGGGACAGGAAACAAGATTATTTTTTCTTTTGGCCTAACATAAATGTCCACAAGTGACCCTGTTGACATCAAACAGAATCCACACTTCGGTTCGTATCTTCCATGACTTTTGTTTCAGTATTATGCAATATAGTGAACTTCAATCCCGATTGAATATATGCACTCAATATTAATACAGGGATACAAATCGGGATTGAAGTCTGGTTTTTATATACAGCTTTCGTCTTGAAACTACCGATTAGCTTTCAACAGTCTTTCTTTTTATTATTTATAGACTCCTTTACATTAAAATGCACTTGTCCAATCGGACCAGTGCCCAGCAATATTCACTTGTCCATATTTTCTTTTCACTGGTACCGGACAAGCGGACAAGTGTTAATGTCGAGCCCTGGTTTGCCCTATGTCCATCTGCCAGTCTTTTGAATTGACTAGTTTTTGTCTAAGTCTGAATTGCATGTAATAATTCTAAGAAATGTATATTACAGAATGGAAATGGAGCAATTGCAACTTTGAGTACTGGAGTCTCAGTGGAGAGCAGTCCATTTAAAGGTCCAAAGCCACAAGAGCTAAGCAAACTAAGAAAGGCCATAGAAGACGGAGACATCACCACTGTAGAATCAATGGTGTGGGAAAACCCCCGATTTCTGGTCAGTGGAGGAGACACACCTGTTATTCTTCAGGTAAATATGCACATTCCAGATTGCATCGGTTACTCTTATGGAGTAATTGTACTGCATATAGATAATGAATTGATTATTAATAGTGCTGTGCGATATTACCGGTTAACCGGTGTATCCCGATTTTTTTCTTCACAATACGTATCGCGGTATTTTTTTGTGAATACCGATTCGGGTTCGATATGCTATAAATTGTTATAAAAAGAGTTATTTGCTCTTCTCAAGGTAAAATATGGCGGCAAGCGACGTGAAGTGTGATCAGAAATGAGAGACATATCTCTGTCAGAAATGAAAAGACGACAACTGTTACATGAAACCCCTTCATGTTAAAGCCGATTCTGAATATTACAACTTGATTCGTCAAGTTGTGCCACAAAAAACTTAGCTTGCCACTTGCGCCAACACAACGCGACCAGACAGTTGCAATATCAACTCGAGAATACATGTAATTTGAGTTTGTGTTTTCATTTGACATTGACGAAAAGCAAAATTTATTAAAAATTTTATATTGTGATATATTGCAATACAAAATATAATATTGCAATATATCGCGAAATGATTTTTCAGTCGCGATACCCAGCTCTAATTATTAATCTTCAAGTAGTTACAATATTATGGACATTCTTTACTGGCTTTATCTCTGTGGTAGTAGTGTAAATGGATATAATTAATAAGAGATGCAATATAAAATAAAAATGTACTTGAATGAGTGAACTCAAGGTTGAAAAAAAAATGTGGAAATATTAAAATTATAGATTATTTTATTCTGCTGTGTGTGCATACATTTATGTATTTTTCAATAAATAATTTCATATTTTAAAAATTAAACTTCAAAATAACAGGAAGGACCAAGATACAATGCATTGCATGTAGCAGCCAGAAGCAACCAAGCAGGAATTTGTCAGCTTCTCTTGGACACGTTAGAAGATCCCAGCTTTATTGACAAGTTGTATGGCCATACTAATGAAACAGAGGGAACAAGGACCAACAGAATTAACTTTATTGTAGACCTTTATCTCAACACTCCTGATAAAGCGGTATACATTTATTATTGTTCCTTAGTAATGAGGCATCATCTGTTAGACCTAAGAGTCAGTTACCATAAAGAACTATCTGTGATAAAGCTGTATTTATGCATAAACATGTTTATAACTTTCAGGCCTGTGAAGTCCCATTACATTTTGCCTGTAAACATGGATTTGCAGAAGTTGTAGCAGTCTTGATATCTCATCCCAAAATAGACAAATCTGTGAAAAATAAGTTTAATGAAACTCCAAGAGAGGTGAGATTTGCCAGTCTTAGGTAAAGTAAACATAATTCAGAAACTACTTTGCTTCAGTCATCAATATTGTGATCTGGAGAAACTTTAGAAGAAAGACTTTTGCAAAACAATCTAAAGCACTTGTTTGACAGATTTATTGTTAGTATACTTGAACTTACTTGTCCAACCCATATTTTTTTAATCTGACAGTAAGGTACAATGCTGTAACCACATCCTTTTTAAGCATGTTTCTCAGACAAAAAAAATTGTTGACAAAATTTGAAAGGGATATATTGTTAAAGAATTTTAAAAGAATACATGGTCTTTCAGGTTATATGCAGTAGAGTAGATAAGGCTACCACTGCTCAAAGAGAAGAAATTAAAGAGTTAATGGAAGGTATGCAATTCATTTACAGTGTATAATATCATTATCACAAATATGTGGTCAAGTTTTTTTTTAATCAAATACCAGTGTAAAAATTGTATATAAAAAGGCAAATTTACTTTTAAATCTGTTCATAGAATTTTAGATGATTTCATTAATTGGTAAACTTATTTTTTAATATTAAAGAATTTCGAAATTAAAGATAACATTTTTTTTATAACATATATTTTATAACCAAGGAAGTTCCTGTTTTTAGGTCAGTTTTTTGTCCCCTTGCTGCGGTCTGAAGACAACTCTTCTCAGCCCTTTATTGGTATCCCATGGTCACCAGAAAGTTCCCGAAGCACGGTCAATGTGCCCCCTCTCTCCTGGAGCCCCAAGGATCCTCTGATGGCCGTCAAGGCTTGTGCCGGGCCCATGACTCCTTCTAAGGTACTTATAAAGTACTACACTACTCTCAGACTATAAACTGTGATAGCTCATTGAAGCCAAGATAAAGTTTATTTGGCTTTAGTTAGTTTGTTCATCTAACCATTTGTTTATTGTGGAATTTTTGCATGTTCAATCATTGGGTTATTGATACATTGCACAAATTCTTTTCAAATCTTCATTTTAAGATCCATGGGTAAATTGATTATAGTTTATGAAGACAAATTCACAAACCCTTCCCACTGAAAGCTTTAAATAGATAGTTATTGTAAATAAAATAATAACAGCATGCCAGTTTGTTCATGTACATGTAGTTCATGTCTTTTGGTTTCTCTCATTGCCATTAAACAAGGGTTGACTGCAATAACATTCTCAAATGAAGCCTATAGGGAAAAATGGGAAAATGATGGGGTACCTGGTATTTGATTCTTTTTTTCTCAAGAATGCTTAATTTTAAGGTATAAGTACTCTTTAGACTACATGTATGTACAAGACAACATTTGAATACAATATTTCTATCTTTAAAATGTACCAATAAGTTCAAACTGTGTAAATATGTATCTTCTAGAGGAATTTTGCAAGATACTGTATGTGTACATAAATTGGCGTATTCAAAATTTAGTGCAATCACTGGGTATTGAGTGGTTAGCGCAATCATGAATTAGCGCTACACATGGCCGCATTTCATATTATATGTATAGATAATTTTTTTAACGGTATTCATGAATTAGCACATTGTTGTCCATGCCAAAGCTGCTAAAATATGAAGCCCACTTTTTGAAGTACACATACAGTACACAAGAAAATAACAAATTCTGAAGTGAATTTTAAAACATTTCTCTATATCCAAATGCTCACTATGCTCACTTCGTACTCAAAAATATATGTCAGTTAAGCAATTATTATTTAATATTACATATGTATTATAAAAGATACCACAGAGTCTGACACATCTATTTCATATTTAGATATTTCACTTGAAAAAGACGTTAATGGTAATCTAACAACCAAGCTTTAACTTTTCAATCGCCAACTTCCCTTACATATGCAGCAAAATACCTTCATCACCTGCATTCCTGATTTATATCTCAGTTGATTTGATACACATGCTCTACATAAGAACAATTTTTAAAACGAGGTAAGTTATTAACAAACAAGTTCCTGAAACAAGCATATCAGCAGTCTCATTTAAAGTCATCATTTCATAGGTTCTATGGGTGATACTATGACCTTGTCAGATAATACAATTTATCTTTAAGTCAATCCTGACTGATGTTTTTCATACTAATTATTAGGCCATTATATACACACTGAATTGTCAATGGATTTTTCCATTATTTCCTTATCATGACAAGGAGCACACAGCAGTTGTTTCTAGTCGGAAGGGGATGCTCACTCCTCCATGGCACTTGATCCCACTTATAATGTTTTGGAGGTTTTTGTTTGCTCCATTGCTGATTTGTATTGTTTAATGCACTTTTAATCTTGAATACTGTTGGTTATCTCCATGGCTGATTTACCATCACTAAGTATTATGTATGATTTTATAGGCAAATTTGTTCCATAAGAGATGGAACACCCCTCCATCTAACAGTCCAGATTATGCCAAACGAAAGTTTTACTCAACAAAACGAGAAGACAGTGAAAAAGGTCTAGAGAGAATCGGCAGGTAGGTCATTAATCAATCTCACCACAGAAAATTGTACCAATCAGTAAACTTCTCTCTCTCTGGTGTTTGCCTTCATATCAAAGCAATCAGCTTTAGTACTGCACCTTGAATCAATGTAAAAGGCAAAATTGCCTATTTGATGATTTTTTGTCATCCTCCTGTACCTTCCAAAGTACCAGAGTTGCCTGATTTGAGATTTCTAGATTTACTTCTAATGTTTTCGGAAGGTGATTTGTTTAAGAAGTGTATATGATAATTAATAAGACTTTACACATGCATCTTGATCCAGTTCAATAAAGATTTTTTTTTTCTGAACCAAAGATTTTTTTTGGAGTATCAAATTTCAATTTACAAGCTGTTTGAATCTATAATTTTGTAAAGGTCAATGTTGCAATTTTTTTTAGGCAACTTGCACATGACATGGGGATTCCCTGGGTGGAGTACTGGGATTTCCTACAGACGTACACAGACATGATGACAGATGATGGCCTGGATCTCCTGGAAGAATACCTACAGAAGCAGAGTCTGGCTCTTTGTATCGAGGAAGCACTGGGAAAACTGGACCTTCTATCTAACAGTTTCCACTCCTTCAAGTACAATCAGATGGATATGTCCATTACCCAGAGCAAAGATGGAGGAGGAAGTATGAATGTATCCTGGCTGATGTCGCCTTTAGCCGACATTGAGGAATCCATGCATGAGCAGGAAATGGTGGATATCGATAAGTATCTCCATGGCAACATTATGGATCAGGTAAAAAGTTACAGATCCAATGGAGCTCTCCCAAACTCAGAGACCATGAAGAGGTCAGTAAGGATGGAGGAATCTTTCACAATGCCAAAGAAGAATATCTATGATTATGGTAGAATAAATCGATCCATGGAATGGTCTATGGACAGCAGTGATTGGTCCCAGGAAAGTTTTACTGGTATCCTGACCCCGATGTCCTGTTTATCCGCTCTGTTCTCTAAGCTGTCACTACTAGATAGATCACGCAGACAGAGGAGGCTCTCAGGATCACCTGGGTGTTTAGGTGTTTCATGTTTGGGGAGTGGATATCCAGGATTTGTGAAATCTACCAGGACTGAGCAAAGTAAAACAGGAACGTCCGACTCAGATTTACATAGCAATGGCACAGTCCCTCACGATACAGATAATGTGAAAGAAATGCAAAGTAGTAGATGTGTGTACATAAGGGAAGCTAGACTGACTGTAGATAATAATAATCAGGAGGACTTGAAGAACAGCAACACTGAAGAGAACAGGAAAACAGCAGATGGGTTTCAGTCAACTGAACTGTTTGTTGTGGATGATAATCTGAATAAAACAACAAGAGTGAATGCCAAGGAGTCGACTGTATTAGTGGACAATGTACAAAGTTGTGAAATAAACATTAAAGGAGAAACAAATTGGAGGGAAAAATCACAGACCTCAAGTGTATCTTCTCAGGGGGAGGAGCATCAAGCCATTGAGGAACTCCTCCAAAGGGCCAGTGCAATAACGGAATCCCAGAGACAGCCCACAGATCAGATAGATGATCTGGTGAATCAGTTTAATGAGAAAATAGACTTCAGTACCACAGTAAACTCTCAGAGATCATCAAGTAATCAGTCAGATAGAGAACCTCCAATGCCGAGGAAAAGGTTGACTTTTTCGGAGGACATTACTGAGGAGCAGATGGAGGGTTCCACTGAAGAGCAGGAGGAGGACACCCAATCCTGTCATTTAGATATCACCCTACAGTTAGACAAGGACAGGGTCTCTAGCTTCGAATTTCAGTCTATGTTTGAGCTGCTTAATGAAAAAAAGACTTTACATAATCAAAAAGATGGAAGCACGAGGCGAGTGATTTATAGTCGAGACATTATCTTAGATCTTGCAGGACAAAACCTGGAGGATGTGGATAGTGTCAGTCTTAGTGTAGCTGTTGTACCACCAAATTCAACCGTGGCAGAAATGGCGATATTTTCTAACATTCCATTCTTTGTGTTTCGAGGAAGCCAGTATAAACCGGGGGACTCTTTTCCCAGTAAATTACCTGCAATGGTGGATGTTGTCTTCAATTTTGTGAAGGATTCTGTGACATCAGCATTGGCAGTCAACAACAAATCTAGAGGGAAAATATATTTTATAAGTGGGTTAGTGAAATCAAAATTGAATCATTAATTAAATATGCACAAGTACTGTATGTCATATGTTATGCCCCTCTTCGAAGAAGGGAGGGCATATTGCTTTGCTGCTGTCTGTCGGTTGGTCGTCTGTCAGTCAACCATCAGTTTCCATTCATTTTCTTCACAGAGGTTGCACATATTGAAATGAAATTTGGTATACAGATTTATCATAAGAATATCTAGGTCAAGTTCTGTTTTGGGCCATTGACAGAGTAATGCCCCTTCAGCCTAGAAAAATTCCTATTAATTTTTACCAACATCTCTCGTTTCATAATAACTTTATATTTATTTTGCCTATTTATGAATGTTACTTAAAATAACATATGTATGCCTAGCAACATGTACATTTACATTAAATTAATATCACCAAGTTGAACAATCAAAATAGTTTGGAAAATCAATGGTTTTAATTTAGAGATAATTACATGTATATTCAAAGGTATCGTATTTAATCTTGTTTATAAAATTTGTAGGTACCAGCCCAGTAAGACAGACCTGGATGTGTATAGAGCTATACAGGGGCGGGAGGTGGAGAAAGAACACTATCCACTAATCCACAGGTGGAAAGCTCTAGTTTCCTCCAGGATGGCCAATCCGAACTGCTGGTCAGTATTTAACTTAATGATAACTCAAATAATAAAGGTTACTTTGTATTATTGGGTCTTGATTTACATGTGAGAGAAATAATATTGTTAAGGCATAATACCTCTGATAGTCAATATGAAATTAAGAGCACTCAAATCAAAATAGTAAAGTAGATCAAATACTTTCAAAGAAAGATTATAGTACTCACTCTTTTATGAAGATTATTAATATTATTACATGTTATTATACATATGGAGAGGATTACCTGAATTAGAACTTGTGTCCAATCCTTTTGACATATTGTCAATTTTTTTTTCTCAAAAGTTAGAAAAGAAATATATATTAACTTTTTTGTAGTTGGCCGAGTCCTGCAAGATCACGTTTCCAAGGCAATTTATCAGCCAGTTTTCCACAAGTGTCCACCCCAAACAAGACCCCCGAGAGTCCCATTGTGTTTTACCGAAGTCCGATTCCTCGAGGCACCCCAACTCGACAAAAAATGTCCGCTACGTGGTCAATGCCTAACATCAAGGCTCAGTTGTTTCCAAAGTCACCATTGGCAGAAAGAAGAGGAAAACTGGATTAGATAAATTTGTTTGAATTCATAATTCGAAGAAATTGTTAACGTCATCTATTTGGGGGAATTAAAAAGAAAATGTTAATGTCATCTTTTTGGGGGAATTAAAAAGAAAATGTTAATAATGTCATCTTTTGTGGGGAATTTAATCAAGACTTACTACCGTGGTCTGTATTTATTCATTAGACATAAGATAACATAGTGTCTTTCTAGTACATTCTACAAGAGGACTGAACTTGAGTGTTGGAGTTTTTACATGTAGTAGACAGTATTTTGTGTGATTCCATTTTCTGCTGTGATAAAGCATCTGCTTGCGTATAAGTAGTCTCAATAAACACTAGATAGAATTTACAGGCTCTAAGCCCTTTCAGATTTATTGTACACTGTTTTCTCAGATGTTGTGAATTGATGTGCATACTAGTGTTTCAGAATTGATATTTTGTACATGTATTGTTTGTACAGAGCTTAGAAACTTTTAATAGCTGTGCAGGTACTTTGTATGATATAGCTTAAACTGCTTGTTTTTTCACTGCTGATTACCGGTAGTTAAAAGTGGGGAAGTTCATATTAATTTTTCATTTTTAGTGTTCATGTTTTAAATTTTATTATCAAATTATATTTTAGTTTTTGAATTTTATGTTTTCCTAACCACACAATGTACAGGTATGGACTGAACAGTATCAGTTAGATTCTTGTTACAGATTACATTCAATCAGGTTAATCAAAGTATTTTTAAGTTTCGGAATATTCTGATCATGATGATTATTAATTGGAGATTTTTAATACTCAAGCACACGAAGAAACGCAAGAAAATTCCTATTTGAGGGAGTATTTGATCAGTTATCTCTTTGCCCATTTACCAATAACCTTATAAACTGTAAAAGTTGTGATTAATCCCATATGATAAATTAAATTGCCTTCTGCAGAGTCTTTTTTATGTGTCAAATTATTATTTTTGGTAAAATTACTTAACAGTACCTTTTTCTGCAAATAATGTTTAAATTTAAGGTCAAGGCTGGGTGATGTTTGCAATCATCAAGGATGATCAATCTGGTTCAGATACACATTTTATTGCAATGTGATTAGATGGCATTGAGGGGAAAATTATTATTGCAGATATCACATTCCTATAGCTGCCTTATGTAAATCAAAGGATACTATTTATTTTCACTGGTAATAAGCTAATAACCCTTTTTTGTCATAGCTGAAAGTCAACTTAAAATCAAAATATGTACACAAAGAGATTATTTGTTATACCTGCTGGAGAATTTATCGTCACAGATTGATTTCAAGCTTACAAATTGTGAGTAACGGATAATTTAAAAAATGAATGGATTAAAGTACTGTCTTCCCACAATTTTTTTTTTAAATAGAAAATTTGTAGTCATAACACCAAATTTTCTATTTTAATAAAAATTTGTGGGAAGACAATACTTTTATTTGGTCCAAACATTCATTTAACTGCACAGTTATTATTTATGTATGATAAAGATATGTTTTATTGCCATTTGTAAATTAACAAGGATGTATTAATAATCCACAAGTACACTGTAGTTAGATTAAAACAGTATTTTCTGTTAGGAAATATGTCTCAGTTTTATAACAGCTGCTGTGTCTTATTCTATTTCATGTTTTGAATATCCTTTATAATGTTTTCTTTATCAAATTATCATTAGTTCGATCCTTAAGCTGCACCCTCTATCTGGAGAGCCAGATTCTCTTTTTAATATTATTGTAAATCAAGAAAACATCACATGATTTTATGAGATTGTTTAATGCAGAAAAAAAGAAAATATACTCTTAAATTTACAAAATAGGATGATTAATAACTTGAGCTAGTTTTAAAGGATACATTTTTTCTTTCACTTTGCTGAATATAGCAGTCTTTATTTTCAGTACAATGCTGATGTTGTATTAAAACTTTGTGATGAAGAGAAAGCTCTCGGCCGTTTATTCAAAAACTCTTTGACTCCTATCAAGGTATTGGTATTACAAAATTAAAATATACATGTACATGTATGTGTAAAGAATAGGAGATAAAATGAAAAAAATTGAAGTCACAAAGGTAGGGGAAAAAATCATTCATTTGGTTGTGGTACATAATTTTATAACAATGTAACCATATAGTAGTTAGATATTGTTTCTCTTTGTGTGCACCCCTTGTCAACATGGTCAAAACATGTATTTCATTTACTCTCTTAACAATTTCAGTGTATATTATGATAATTGTACATATACTAAATCCAAGACTTCGTGTGATGTTTCAAAAAAAAAGATAATAATGTTAGAATAAAAACTCCGATTGAACTAGTCATTATCGTTTTGATTCGATTCACTTGATTTTGTAATACCAATAATGTTCTAGATTATTTTTAACTTTGATAATTTTCCATATGCCCCAGAAATTTATTTTCAATATGTTGCCACGGCTGTGTTCATTTTCCAGTTTGATTGCATTATGTAATTATTTTATACAATTTTATTTTATATTTATTTATAAATGTTGATTTTTCAAGCAAGTACTTGTATTGCAGTAAACTTAAAAAAGATGATCAATTTGTTCTTTTTTTCTGGTATTTTACCCTTATCTGAAAGGGAAGATATACAGTACCTGTATTTACACTTGAACTGACAGGTATACATGTATACATATCAATACAGGTTTACAGAGTGATTGTTTACTTCCTGGATTGAAGGTTTAGGACAGCTTTTGTATTAAATAAGTGAAATATCTCTATCACAGTTCAGGAAGAATGTACTATGATGAAGACTTTAAACCCAGCTTTTAGCCAGACCACTTAAAACACTATGTAGCTTGTATGAGACAAAAAGGTGGTTCATATGTTTTTCAGTTACTAGTAAATAGCTTGCATCCACTTATAATCAATTAAGAGTGATGAAAGCAGTTGTAAAAATTAGCATTTTCCTTGCTCAAAGGTAGTCCAGTTATCTGGCAAACTCCAGGAAGACAGAGTTTCATGAAAATGCAAAAGAGAGGAAGTGCATCTTCTAGATGCATATTTATTACACTTAACATACATCTAAAAACTAATATCAGATATATGTTTGACTACTGACTGATCCGACTTTGTGTGACTGTGACAGTTCCAATTTACACAAGGGTGCAAATTTAGCCAATGTATTAGCTGGCTACTACCTAATTGCTAAAAATGAGTCATAGTTTGCACTGCTCCATTAAAAATTCCTGCTGTACGGTATCTCCTTGTATGTTGCCCCTGTGACACACTTTGAGATACATACATGTACTGTAATTGGTGTCAACATTTGTCTAATAAAAAGCCAAACAATAATTATAATGACCTGTAAGTGTATTAAAGAATGATGAGAAATGGAAAATATGTCTAATATTTCCTCTGTAAACAAATACTGCAGAAGTTATACAGGGTATAATGATTTTAAGAAGAGAAGATTTCAAAGGACTCCAGAAGCTAGCAAAAATTGATATTTTTGCTAGTTATTTGTGGTTTATTTACCTATAAAAAAAAATCAATGCTCTTGTATCTCCAGGAAAGGAAGAAAATGTTCACAATTAAACCTGTAGGAAAAATTTACCTCTTTTCAGTCTATATTAAAGTCTTAAGATGACAATCCACACTAAATTTGATTGACATTGAAGATTTGGTGTTTAGAGACAGGAAACATGGAAATGCCAATTTTGACTTTGAATTCTATACCACTGAATATGATATACATGTAGTATTTGATAGTTTTGTAAGAAAAATAATGGCTATTTTAACATGTTTAAGTGGAAATTTTAATTTTTTAGACCAATGATAATTAAAAACTTTCCTCCATAATTATTTTCTCTGTTAGTGATTGTCTCCCTTTATATAGCTGCAGACCGAGATCTGTAGCTCACTGGTTTTAGAGTAATTAATCCAAACATTTTCTGAGAACAACTGTATGTTTCATCAGAATTCCTTTATCCTTGTTGAAAGGACTACAGTTACAGGGTACAACATACACTTACAAATTCATTTAATAATATAAACATATTCTCAAAGGTTAAGTTTGAACAATTTTACAAGATCTGGATGAACAAAAACTATTTCAAACAAGTTTTTAGTTCTTCATTTTTATTTTTTACTATTTTTGTTTACATTTTTTTTTTTTTTTTTTTTTTTTTTTTTTTTTATTTTTTTTTTTTTTTTACAAATTCTGATTCACTAGTGCATACATTAAAACATGGACAAGCTATCAAGCATGAAGAAATGCAAATCTGTTTCATGGCTGTAAGTTTTAGATTGACAAAACTCATTTACTACTATTCATTACTAATGACAGTTATCAATCCTCTCATTAATTTATGAACACTGTCTTCAGTTTTATCCCATCCCATCTACAATGTCACACATCATTCTGTCCAGCTGGTCACAAGGTTCAGACTCTGCATCATAACCATTGTGTTGCTGGGAGGCTTGCAAAAGTTCTGTTTTCACCAAGCTTTTGGAATCAAAGCTGAAATCCTCTGGCAAACTTTGTAAACTAGTCTGAATCAGTTCCTTCACTTTGTTTAAATGAGTCTCAAAGTTTTTGGATATTTGTGATCTCTCTTTCTTCTGCCTCTCCATCATGACACGGAGTGTTTCTCGGGCTTGATGAGGTCGGAACTCGTTAATTAGGTGATGCATGTGGATAAACAGTAGGTTCAGATCCTCAAGCTTTTCAGTACGCTTTGATGAGTCAGGGGCTTTTATCAGAATGTCAATCAAATCCAGAAAATTCACCAGAATGGATTGATTTAGCTTCTTAAGCTCTCTTTTGTGATCATAATTCTGGGGATGAAGACGTCGAAATCCTTGAGATTCCAAAGGTCTAATAATAGCATCCTCTGCATTAAACTGTGCTCCAAACATGGTATATGTGTCCTGCAACATGAATTATTTAATAAATTGTGAATCAAAACCAATGTGATTTTTTTTTTACTTACACGTCTAAGGGATTTCAAATCTGAAAATCAACTGTATATTGTTAACAATTTTATTCATTTCAATATGCAGATTTACCAGCATTAATGATATGGCATACCTGAATGGGCGGAGGTGGAAGTGGTGCCCTGCCTCTCTTGACATTTTCATCTGTGTACAGATTGACATATTTGCTAGGAGGCAGAGGAAATGCGCTTACACTCTGATTCTCTGCCATAATGTAACAGCTAGAAAAACAATTAAATAAATAAATTTAGTGAGGTAAACATCATATATATATAACAATTCAATTGCCAATGTTTGCTCTTTTGTTTTAACCTCCTAAGACCTTCAAGTTCATTTGCTACAAAATTTTCTTTCTGAACCAAGACATAACCTTATTAATGTCTTTTATTTCAATCTTATGTACTCCCCATCTAAGTTTGTAAATGATAAAACTTAAAAGGATATATAATTACATAGATTTTATATATCATATCTGTGTGCCTTACTTAGACAGTTACTGGTTACTGAGATGGCTGATTAGGAGCGCCTTAGAATAATAATTTTAAAAAAACAACAACAAAAAACACAGCGGCAATGTTAAACATGCCCAAGACTTCTGAATGAAAGCATGGTTAACCGTTGCTTACTGCTTAATTTTTCATTTGCTTGATACTTACATATTTTCTTTTTCAGTATCTGTTCATAATTTTCAATGAGAATGGCGAGCCCGATTGATTATTTGACGTTTTTTCTAAACATAAGTTTTCATCCAATTTCGTCATATTCGTTAATTGTGAATTATTCCTAGAAAAAATATGAAGATAATGGTTGTAGGTTAATAATATTGTTTTCTTCTCACCTGAATTTTAAAGAGGGGACATCGGGATCGACATCTTTTATATCTTCGTTTTCTCAAAGTTTTAAGGAATATATCAAAGGGAGATTACTCTAAGAAGTTTATGATTAACTAGATCCAATAACAGAAAAAAAGCATCCGTGAGCAAATGGCCTCTTATGCCAGTTTCCGCTTACTTATTTGGTAGCGCTGCCTCTAAAGAAGAAGCAAACTTTTGGTAGGTACGGTTTCATTTTGCAATTGATGAATGTCGTAGTTGTTTAGATCCTAAATTTAGACCTTCAAAATAATCACTTCCTGGATAAGTTTAACTTGACAAAGTTCATCATAACAGTGGTTCATGATAATGGAATTATTACCATGTTTGTCCCAAGCACAAACAGGTAGTAGAAAAGAAGAAAATGATAACTTGTTCTATCTTTTTTATATTATATATATGTATAAACTGAGAGTTTATATAATTTAATAATAATAATAGGGGTTCTTTCATATAATATTGACCCCTGTCTGTCATTAATAAATATATTTATTAATATTATAGATTATTAGAATTATTCTACACAACATGATATCAATTGGTTCTAGTTTATCGCGTGATTGGGCCATAAACTTCATATTTCACGGTCGTCTGCATGCTTTTCACGTACCATATTCTGCCTCTTCGGATACCCAGCTACATCATTTTCCAGAAAAAGTTATGTTCATTGAAAGAAAACTCATGAAAGTAGAAAAAGTCACAATAGCCTGGTTAATGTCACAAAATTAATGATTACTGATGTGTCAAAGGGTTTCAGTAACCCTCACCACAGTTAAAAATGAAATAATTTGCAATGTTGCAAAAAATTGAAAGTAATGTTTTTGAAAATTAAAATTTTGCACTGGGAATAACTGTAAAATAATAAAACAAACCTTCTTGAGATTGCTTATGCCTTTTATCCCAAAAAATAACCAATATAATTTCGAAAATCCAATTAATTTTCTGGGAATAGTTTTTCTCTCTGATTCAAATTACCTGCCATGTTTACAATATCATACTCTCTAGATTGTTCCTAGTAAATGCACTATGCGAATCGCCCGTGTTTTTTTCTGCTACATTACGAATACTCGATTAATTTTTAAATCTTCCGTTTTTAAAATAATTCATCAAATTAAATACATTTTGCATTACTTTTGTGTCAAAGGGTTTCTTATACTTTACGTTAAAAATGAAAGTGAATTTGAGTGCGGTGCCAAATTTGAAAGTAATGTTTATTGCAAAGTTTTTTGCTTGTGTCTGTATAATAAACAATTCATTGCGTGAATGTTCAGGAAACATGAAGATTTATTCAGCCAAGAAATTTCATATTCTCCTCGGGTGAAGCCCTCTGGGAATAGGATTTTTCTTGGCTGAATAAATTTTCATGTTTCCCTCGCTATCATGCAATATCATACATGTGATTCTTCCAGTGGGAGGCAAAATCTCCCGATTTTTAACCCCCCTTCCGCCCCTCCCGATTAATTTTTAAATCTTCCGTTTTTAAAATAATTCATCAAATTAAATACATTTTGCATTACTTTTTATCATGTTTCTTATAATTTCCATCTCTCTTGCTTAGAATGATCAAATACATTGAGAAAATAACAACGGCAGTGCAGTGACGTTCCAGGTGAATTCTACATTGCAGAAAATAGGCTTCCAAAGTGATACAAATCAACATAATTAAACGACTTTGACTTTTTTTTTTCAGTGTGTAAAAATTAGTGATATATATTTTTGGACTTGATAAATGGCAATCGATGTTTTATTGCTGAATTCCTGAATGCAGAACATTGTAATTAGTTGCTAAAATACCCAATTGCCATCTTCATGGCAATAAAAAACATTTCTGCGGTTCATATGAGATAAGGTTTATTTACATTGTAAGTCTTCTTCTCTCTTGGTCACACTTTTGACTTGCAAACAAGTAAAAATATCATTTAATCAGTGAATCATATAGGGTGTTGCTAAAAAATATACCTGATTCTACTTTCACTTTGTTGTATTTTTAGAGAAATTAATTTTATCGTTTTATATTCTATTTTAGGAAAATACTGATATAAGACCTATATACATATATTGATGTATCAATAACAAATCAAAAATAAAATTTTATTCAATGTTTTAATGATGATGTTACCTCTTAATTAATTTCAATGAATTAATTTAATTTTAATTTGATTTCACTTCTGATCATTTGACTAAAAATTTAAACATATTATTTTAAAGCTAACCTTTATGAAATAAAAATTATTTTAAGTAATAAAGAGGGAGACAGCATTTTCTAGGGAGTTGGATGGTCTTTCGCGATTTGAAAAAAAGTCGATAAAAAATCTCCAGCTTTGAGACCCAAACTCCAGCTGAAAAATTTCAAATCTCCAGTTGTGATTGTTCAGTTCTGTCACAAGTATGCAATATATTCAATACATTTAAACATTGTTATCATGAACTGTGATAACTTGTATATAAAAGTATATATCACATTTTTGAAGTTCCAAAACTTTTGTTCTTGAAGAATTTTACCCTGGATGTCTCAAATCTTCAAATATCTCCAAAAAAAAATTGTCAGTCCCATTGAGTTCAAGGGAACAAGGTTTGACTGTATATAGAGGTTTGTTATGTAAATTTTACTTAAGTAAAAACCTGATTTATTGAATTGAAATACCTATCATTGTATTTGATCAATGACATGTTTTATTTTTCAAGTTCTTAAAATGGAGAGACTCCAAAGATAATGGGAAAATAAGGATTTACATAACTTCAACTGCCAAAATGGGGGAAAAGAAGAGAGATTTTATGATGAAGAGGGCCATGAACAAGGGCACCTTCATCAACGCCTCAAACTACAAGAGTCGCTGGTTTGTGTTAGATGACAGCTTGTTGACATATTATGATGGAACATTAGATGTAAGTTATTCAAGAATACGACTGGTATATACATGATGTAGTAAAATAATTATGTTCATATATACACGTCAAGATGAAAAAAAAATCTGAGCTTCAAAAACATTATTGATTTGGCATGTACTATAGGGACAGACAAATAACCTGTATAGTATATCCTCTTGTCGTGGACATGATAGGGACAAGCAAATTATAATATATCCACTTGTCTTAGATACTATAGGGACAAACAAATTATAGTCTATCAACTTGTCTTAGAGACTGTAGAGGCAAACAAAATATAGAATATCCACTCATCTTAGACACTGTAGTGACAAACACATTATTATATGGATATCCACTTGTCTTAGATACTATAGAGACAAACAAATTACAGTATATAATCCACTAGTCTTAGACATCATAGGGACAATAAATTATAGAATATCCACTCATCCTAGACACTATAGAGACAAATAAACTTATTATTATATAGTCTATTTATATACTCTATATAATCTATACAAGCGCAAACAGTTCATTACACTACATATTCACCGGATTTGAGGCCGTATTCACCGGAGGGTCATTGCGCATGCAGCAGCATTGTGACGTCACAACCAACACCTCAAACAACGTTGTAAACAATAGTTGCAACGGCCGTAGCGAGCTACGTATTGGAGCAGGAAAAATATTATACAAACCTATCATAGGATTATTTTTTAACATTTGGACGTCTTACACTTAGCGAAACTTGGAAAGGAAAACACGGAGGTTACAAACAATAAACTGGATCGAGATTTTTTTTATTTTCAAAAATGGAAGATTGCAAGTGAAAATATTGTATATCCAATCATCTTAGACACTATAGGGACAAACAAATTATAATATGGATATCCACTCGTCTTAGTTACTATTGGGACAAACAAATTATAGTATATAATCCACTAGTCTTAGACATCATAGGGACAATAAATTATAGAATGTCCACTTGTCCTAGACACTACAGAGACAAATAAACTATAGTATATCCACTCATCTTAGACACTATAGGGACAAACACATTATTATATCCACTTGTTTTATGCCAATTTTCACTCGTCCTAAATCATGTAGATAAATGCTTTTTAGCACTCTGAAAATGTTCTAAGATCTATGAGTTCTGCTTATGATTAAATCTTATCAGCAGTTCTACTAGTAGTAAGACAATATTCTGTTACTTAGAATTCTGAGGATTTGGCTCAGTGTTTTAGATGAACACACTTTATCTAGGAAGCAATGACTGCTCTAACCTTGCATGATCAGAAAGCAGACCCAGACATTCTGTGGCATCATCATTGTTCTTGGGAGACCAATGTGTTTGGATTTCATAGGTCACCCTTACGGTACCCAAGAATTTACATCCCCATGAACATTTATTTTGTAAACATATTGATTCTTTGAAACTATCAAATAAATGTGTACAGGTAACCCATGAACGAGTTTAATGTGCACAAAATTACCATTTATTTCTCACTTCAAAGTGAAAAGGATTTTTTAATGAACTTTAATATAAGTAAACCACATAATGTACATAATAAGAGTCCTATTAGTTTCATGCTTACTTACACTACTCAAGCAAGTAGCAGAACCTGTATGATTTTAATGCATATTACATGTAAATTGTTAATTATTATTCTGTCTTTGTTGAATCCTGAAGTTTTGAACATTTATAATAGTATAAGCAGCCAATGTCACTTTTATGCATTTGATAGAGACAGATGGACACACACACACACACACAAACCCTCGCATAGAAGGGGGATGCAAAAAATGACCTTCATCACACATGATCACAGTGCTGGTTTGTATAGGTACTTGTGTTAATTGTCTCAACGAGCATTATCTGTAGCTCCGTCTGTTAACCAAAGTGTCACAAGCTGGCACTGAAAAGATATGAATGAAAACCTTACTCCTTAAATGCTCTTCATATGTTATAATAGATTTGAGTGTATAGTAAATGAATTAGGTTGACACATTTTTTAGACCAGGAAGTGAGACGTCCAGGAAGCTTGTTCACTGTGTTATAAATATAGTGGCTAACTTCTTTATACAAGCACACATACAGCTCACTCAAAGTAATGCGTTTTTCTTGATGTTTTTAAAGTAAGACGAAACATATCGCTTTATCTAATTTGTGGATATCAAATTCTGAAAGATTAAGAAGAAAAAAATAACACAAATTAAATCCATTTATTACTTTTTTAAACACTTTTAAAATGATATTAAGTGTAACATATTTACATTGGAGCACCTTTTATTTGATAAACATCTATCTAGTTTCCCTTATTAGCTTATCGGGGCTGTAGGGTTAGTTTTAAGTTATCGGGGCTATTATAGGGTTAGTTTATTAGCTTTTCTGGGCTATAGGGCAGTTTATTAGCTTAACAGGGCTATAGGGACAGTTTATTAGCTTAACAGGGCTATAGGGACAGTTTATTAGCTTAGCAGGTCTATAGGACAGTTTATTAGCTTATCAGGCCCCTTTACTTTACATTGTAATTCGCCCCAATGTGTTTTGATTACGTCCCAAGCCTGATAAAGGGCCAGTTTATTAGCTTATCAGGGTTATGTTTTAGGGCAATGTTTTATTTTTGTATGATGTTTCTTTTGGAAGGGAAGGAGAGTGGATAAGGATATATGGTCTCTATGTAAATACTGATTGATTTCCTACATAATTTCTTTCCTTTTATTAAATATGATTTAAATATACATGTACATGTAGTTATAAAAAAATAAATCAATTCTCTGAGGGGATCAGTTTAAATTAATACTGAGAAGAAGCAACTCATATTTTTCATTGTAGCAGTAGGGGATATTCTTTCTTCCAACTGTGTGATACAGATTAACATTTTAAATCTTCCTTTCTTTTCAAAAGTATGTCATCATTTGATATAAGGTTGCACTAGCTTGCTTTTACGTTTGGAATCCAAATGAAGCAATGATTTGAATTTCTAATTTGTTTCTTCATGATTATATCACACATCATGGGACACACAGACATTGTCAATTTTTCAACGCACACCATTTACAGTAAAACCTTGTTAACTTGAACTCTGTAGTAAGGCTGAATGAAAATTTCAAAATATCTGAGGATCATGAGTTATTGAGGTAAAAGTGCATAAAAATGGGACAGGGACATTGCTACCAACATTTTACATATGCATTTGAGAAATTAATTTTCAAGATACCAGATTTTTAAAAGTTTTTCCCAATTTATTTCAATTAGTCAGACCCATATATTTGTTAACCTCATTTTTCAAATTTCTTTTTCAGAAGCAAGGAAAGCAAAAAGGTTGCATAGAATTAAGGAAAGTAAAGGCAGTAGAGACCGTGGAAGACTGTGTGCTGGACAAGAAAACAAATGTTTTTCAGGTATATATATTAAAATAATACCAGCTACACAAATATCAATATATAATATTGAAAACTTTTGTTTTTCCTCTGTGTATAATGTGTCTAAGTGAGTAGATTTTATCGAAAAGCATTGGCTCATTTCAAAACAGTCGATTTAAATACCGGGTATAGCATTTGAACTTTTATGTTGAATCAGTCCAAATTAACTAAATGCACAGAACTAGACGTTTTATTGGACAAGAAGTTCCATGTAGAGAGTTAAGGTTCTTTAGGAGGTTGACGATTTCTATGCACTATTTAAATCATGGATCAGAATGTATTTTTTTGCAGGTTGTACATGGTGCCCAGAAGAATAATGACATTTTAACACTGTACATCGTGGCACAGAGTGACAATCAAAGACAGGACTGGGTCCAACAGCTCAGGAAAGGTTCAGATATATTTTTGAGTTTTTGCAAGAGAGGGTTCTTGTCATATTTTGTCTTGAAGGTTTCCGTTCAAGAAGTCATCTCTTAATCTTATTCCATATGTAAATCTATATTATTTTCTGCATTTTTGCCTTCATACATGTACTAAAGGGGGATAACAATGAAGTCACAAATTTTTGAAATGAGGCAAAATTGATTTTAATGCAAAATAAAAAAATAATAATAAATGAAAATAAATACCCCTGTATATGGCTTTCAGTGAAATTTATTTTAGTACAAACCATTATTTTCAAAGTTAGCTATTGCTGTATTGTTAGTTTTTCTTTACCATTGAAAAAGCAATTCTTCTTTTATTTAAAGCTGCTGAGAAATCTGATGCCCAGTTTATGCCTAAGTATCACAAAGGTGTATGGATTAATGGAAACTACACTTGCTGTAACCAGATTTCCAAAAATGCCATCGGCTGTGAAATTACTACAACAGAAAGAGGTAGAGTGCAATCAGTGCAGTAAATATTCAGGGCTCACGTATAGCCAGGGTAGAGGAGTTAAGTTGGAAATGAAACTATGATGAAAGCATTGCCGACAAGTCATTTTGACAAAAATGTCAAAAAATTACATACAGAAGTACTGGTAATAGTAAACATAAGAATTATCATTTTAAGAATGATGAACTTTGGTCTTGTTCTTGAGTTGCAGTTTTAGTCTGGTTGTTATAAATCTTGCTACAAAAGGAAAATAAACCAAGGATTATAATAAAATGCTTCCTTTGGTTGTTAGTATGGGAATTAATTGTGCATCTGTTGGAGAATAAATGCTTGAGATGTGGATTATGTAATTTTTAGCTCACTGGAGCAAAAGGTCAATTGAGCTTTTCTCATCACCTATTGTCTGTTGTCTGTCTAGCTGTCCATCTGTCTGTGTAAACTTTTCACATTTTTAATTTCTTCTCAAGAACTGTTGGGCCTATTTTAATCAAACTTGGTACAAAGCATTCTTGGATGAATGGGAGTTCAATTTATAATAATAAATGGCCAAACTCCTGTACAAGGAGAGATAATCAAGAAAATTGGGGCCACAATAGGTATTACAAGGGGAAAATCCGGTGAATAACAGCATGGCCAATGTTACTCAGGTGGACATTTTGGCCCATGGGCCTTGTGTTTTTGCAATATCTGCAACAGTAATTTCTGTAATAACAAACAGAGATAGTCTTTTACATTTATATCTGTGCAAATAATCATTAAAAGTAGGATGTTGTAGATGAAATACATGTAGTGTATTATTGATATGTACATCATTTAACTTAGTTAATGGAATATTAACTGCTCCAAAAATCCGGGAGTTATAATGCTAAGTTGTGTTTACTGACTGATAAACAGCAATGGTTTTCTTAAGAAATAAAGGAAATTTTATTCAGTGGATGTAAATATCACTCTATTTATTGCTGTGTCATTGTTTCAATTCCAAGTGCTGCTTTTCTCCTTTGTGCTAAGGACAATCCAGTAGAGCTACAATCTCATCAGAGACTCTGGTTATGTACATGTACGTTCTTTTCTTTGATTTGATAAGCAGGTGTTTTCAAATGGAATTTCATGGAGTTAAAACCTTCCATCCAATCCGCTACACTCAGTCCCCCCCTCTTGTTATCCCCGCCCCTGTCATTCCAGAGCCTTCACAGAAGAAGATATATGTAGCCGTGTACAATTTTACCCCCACGGAAGAGGAGGATCTAGAGCTTATTCAGGTGGGAATGGCAAAAATGTAGCAAAATTATTACTGCAGTCAAATGTACCGGGTAAGTCAGAAAGACAGAAAAGCTGGCATTACAGCCTCATAAATGATGGGCTTTGCAAACTTAACAATATTTATTAAGTAATGAGTTGAAATCTTTTGCAATGTAGAGGAAATGCTGAGCTCCCAGTCAAGCAACATTTGAATGTCAGTGTTTTATTGTTTTTTAGGGAGAAGAATATGAAATATTAGATGATTCACGAGAACACTGGTGGCGAGCAAAAAGTAAAACAGGGTGAGGTTCTATGTTTATATTATGATTATATTGATTTAGAATTAGGAATTTAGGGCAAAATAGCCCCACCTGTTAGAATTGAAATAGATATGGGGCTTTCTTGACTTGGGTCCACTTTTTTGCTTCATTAAAATATTGTAAAGCAATATCTTATCTGTAACTGATGCAGCAGCAAGTTCTTTGTTAAAATAGTCTAAATTTAGGTTTGGTGGAGTTTTGATTGTCTCAGAGAGGGGGGGGGAATGATGTTATTATAATTACTGGGTAGTTTATTGTAGCATAGTACTTCATTATCCTAAGAAAATTGCATTATATTCATAATATCTTCATGGTGATTATAAGGAATTCTACCATGATTATTGCAAAGATCAAAGAAAAGCCGCAGATATTATTCTCCAATAAATCACGAACGTCATCAAAAAATTATAAGATCAGAAACACCTATCAAATCTGAACAATTCAAATGCTTGTTTGACTGTAGAATGAAATACTTGTTTAGACCTCATCGATGTGTCGTCTTTTGCAGTATAAACACTATAAATTGCATAAAGTTGCTGATAAATGTCAGTTTTTATAGCTAAGTGGGGCTATTCTACGGACCTCCCTGCACATTAAACAACATGATTTTAGTAGACATGGTACAATAAAAATAAAGTCCTTGTAAAACAGGAACATGATTCTGTTAAATTTAAAAGTATATTCATTATAACTGATCAATTACATAACATGTATTTTTTGAATAATGATTCAAATTTGTAATTTAAAAAGGCTTATTTTTAATATAAATGAAAGCATCAAATGTCAAAATAGAAGATAAATTTAACACTAAATTGAGAAATAACTGCGGTCACTGCATTTTCCTTGATATTTGCTTAAATTCATTCAATCCAGCAACATTAATTTTAAGAAGGAATAGTTTTAATATCCAGAACTACTGCAATATAATAATGACGATCTTTTCTTTTTAGGAAATCTGGTTATATTCCATCTAATTATGTCAAAAAGAAATTTGATTTAGAAATGTTTGAGTAAGTATTAGAACTATTTTTTTCAGCATCTAAGAAAATTCTTCAAATGAAACCAAAGCAAGCCTAGGACTGTTTGCTCTTTTTAATTAAAATCTCTGTCCATTATTAGTTGGTACTATAAGAGTTTCACACGAGAACGCAGTGAGGCCGTTCTCCGAGAGGAACAAAGAGAAGGTTGTTTTCTGGTGCGGGAATCAAGTGCACCTGGCATGTTCACTTTGTCACTTTTCACCTCAGAAAAGTAAGTACATGTACAGTTTTGTATCTGGTCAGATTATATACTCAACAAAAAAAGAAACGCATATTCAGATTAAACATGATAATCTAAGTTTTCAGTTTAATCCTTATTTTTTTCAAAAGTGATTTTAGAGTGTTTTGATAAAAAATAAACATATTATGTGTTGCGAGTAGAAAAGTGAGTTTATGTCATGGTCGACCCCTCCAAATTCTTGGGGCATACCGTCTAAACTAATCCATATGTCCTTTGCGACATGCTGGTGGATTTCCAATATACGGATAGTTGTAATACCAGCTCCTAGTCTCTTGCAATATAATGCACTTTATGCTAATTTTTTTCATCCAGCAATTGTAGCAGCAGTTTTCCAAGTTCTGAATCGCGTGAGGTGCTGAAAGAAATTTGATTTAGAAATGGTCCTGTCTGGGTGTGGTTACCTGCGGACGGCTAATTCTTTCTTCCGACGATAGTTAAACGCCTGCAAGGCCCATTGATGTATTCCAAATGCAGTTGCAACTTCCTGTTGCACAGCTCCGTTTAGTATCATCGTTAGCCTGGTTGTGTTCATCTTTGTTTCGGCGTGGCATTGAAGCATCAACACTGTAATCAAATCTTAAATATGGGTTTAATAGGAGTGTTGATAGTTTCTCTAAATCCAAAATAGCAGCGAAAATAGACGTCCGATTCAGAAGAAATCATGAAAAACACTACTTTCATAAACGCATTTAATCAAGGGAGATAATTCAACACTTGGGTATTAAACCCCTATGTTGTCCTTTAAATAGGTCACAGGTATCCAATGATATAAAAGATAGTTGTTCCATGTACATTTGAAAAAATTCTTTGACGAGTAAAGCAATATATGCGTTTCTTTTTTTGTTGAGTATATAAAAGTATAAAGAACTTATTAGATGCATAGTTTCAGAACTATATCTAATACATGTACATGCCTTATAACTGGTAATTGAAATTATAATCTGCACAATGTGGCTTGATTTCTGTGAATCTTAAGCTGTTTCTATTTCTGTACTAACTGTATCCATTAAAATTTACATTAATTATTCCATTATAATTATCAAACTTGTTTTTGCAGTGATGGACAAGTTCGTCATTATCACATTAAGAAGAATGATAAAGGGTTCTATTATATAGCAGAGAAATATGCATTTCCTTCGATCTCTGAACTGGTGCACTACCATAAGCACAATTCTGCAGGTTGGTTTTATCATTGAAATGGCTCATGAGGTCATGTCAAAAACATGCATCTATTCAAAATTTTTGAAAGTAAATTCTTATGGACAAATGAAATGTAAATGTGATTTCAAAGTCTTTTGGACTTATATCTCAGTGCTGTATTTTTTGTTGTAGGACTAGCGACCCGGTTAAAATCCCCACCTACACGCAACGGGACAGCAGCCCCAGCTACGGCGGGCTTCAGCTCCAGTAAGAACTTCTACCTATACTGCAGATTAATTGATTTTCATTACACCTTGTTTTTCTGAAATATATTTATTTAGAGTTTAATTTTCCCGAATTCCGGTCATTGCTTTATATAATCTTTTGAAAATGTATCATTGTCAGAACCCACATGTTTTCCCCCCATTGCACTACATGTATATTCAAAGTATTGTAATGGAGGAAAAACCTGTGGGTTTCGATGATGAAATTAAATGCAATGATTACATCGTTGTGAAATTTTTTTTAGGCAAGTTTGAGATTGACCCATCAGAGATTACCATTGGAGAGCAGCTTGGAGCTGGCTGTTTTGGAGTAAGTTAATTAAGAATCAAATGATATATAAACGTGCTTAAAAGGAACTTGGGTTATAACGATATCTTGAGTCCGTAAATAATTAAAAGTTTCCTTTCTCTTTATTTCCTGGTACATTCATTATCTTTAAAAGGAAAAAGGGATGAAATATATAACTTAAGGATTTTTGGGATACAAGGAAGTACATGTAATTCCTTATTCTTATTATTCTTTATTTATGGTCATATTGGTTTATGGAAAATCCAAGAAGTATTTAAGGAATTGATCAGTCAGTGTTATTTTTTTGAAGGTTTCCAAAAATTGTTAATTACCAGGATTAGAAAATTTAAAACCAAATGCCAGCTTGTCAGTGATTTCAATTTTGTATTAATTAACCCAGAATAAAATGCATTTGAACCTTGGTATTTTAAAACCACTTTCAGATTATTTCAAATACCATGGATATATTTGACAGAAGTGAATTAAAAGTACATGTATTTCAACCTCAATATCTCAAATTCTCTGACGTCAAAAATTACCTTGGCCCATTCTTACATGGGTTGGATTTTAAAAGATAGTAATGCCCTGTTCACATGACAAGTTTAATTCGCAGTAAAGTAATGTAAAGTAAACTAATGCGAATCAAACTAATGCGAATTAAATTGCATTCACATGACAGTTAATGCGAAGTAAACTAATGTGAATTAAAAATATACTTCTATAGTCAGGTGTCAGTAAGGCTATTATGACATCATTTGCAAATCCTGTCACCTTATGCAGAAGCCGATGTATTTGACATACCTGGTAATGTTACAGCGTCAGTACACATTTTGGTGATTAAACAATTTTCCTTAGTTTTTCACTCAAAAATAGCACAAGACTTAAAGCTGACCACTGACATGTGTCCTGTGACTTAATTCTGGCCTTATGCATGCATCAAAATTTAATCTGAATTAGTTTCGCTTAGCATTCACATGAAGTTAATGCGAAGTAATTTAATGTGCAGTAAATAATTTCGTATTAAACTAATTCGCATTAAATTCTCTGTGTGAATGCTAAGCGAAGCTAATTCGCAGTAAACTTATAATAAGTTTAATTAGAATTAAACTCTCCGAGTGAACAGGGCATTAGTTTGCTTAGGATAAAGGAATAGTGGTACAGATAAACAACATACATACATGTAGTTCTATTTTCTGCCTAAAACTAATAGTTTTATGATTAAAATTTATACATAAAAACATACATTAGACCAATGCTATGTTAATACAATGTATCATCTACTAATATCTCTGATGTTGGTTTGAACACTTTATGTGTTTATATAGTTCATTGCTGATTAGCAATTCTGAACCTTATAGTTATCTGTAATCAGTACATGTACTTTACACAAATATAAAATTGCTTAATGCAATGATTTACAGACTGTTCATGAAGGGAAATGGCGTGGCAAGCGTGTTGCTGTGAAGATGATGAAAGAATCTGCCATGTCCGATGACGGCTTCATTGAAGAAGCTAAAACCATGACGTATGTTAATTTACATTGTGCATACTGTAAATGTATTACATTCAGCTCTGTTTTCTATTTAGCGCCTTTTGCGGATAGCATCTTCTGCTAAATCAAGTTCATCCAGAAATGTCTTGTTCACACATGTTTATATCATTCAGAAAGAGCTATAATTTTACAGTTATTATTACAAGATTTTGTAATGACATGTGTGTTTCTCACTGTTTTTCTGGCCCATGTATTCTATATATTAGACTGTAACGTCTTAAAATTTATACTTTCTGACAATGTTTTTAGCTCTATTGGTCAGAGACGATAGTAATGCGTCTGTCTGTCTGTCTGTAAACAATTTTTCAAAATGCTACTCCTCCTACAGTTTTGATCTGATTTCAGTATAACTTAGCACACAAGTAGACTATACTAAGATACATAATTCTGTGCATCGTTTTTTTTATTTCGATGAACGGTTTTGTTGTGGTTACTAAAAATAGAAATTTTTGTAAAATGTTTTCAAAATGCTATTCCTCTTCCAGTTTTGGTCTGATTTTAATATAAATTGGCTCACAAGTAGACTATAATAAAATACAAAATTCTTTGCATTGTTTTTTTATTTCAATGAACCGTGTAGCAGTGGCTATTAAAAATAGAAATTTTGTGAAGTACTTTCAAAATGCTACTCCTACAGTTTTGGTCTGATTTCAATATAACTTGGCACATATGTAGACTACACCAAGATACATAATTCTGTGCATAGGTTTTTGATTTCGCTGAACAGTGTTGCTGTGGTTACTAAAAATAGAAATTTCTGTGAAATTCTTTCAAAATGCTACTCCTCCTACAGTTTTGGTCTGATTTCAATATGACTTGGCATACAAGTTGACCAACTAAGATACATAATTCTGTATATTGGTTTTTGATTTTGAAAAACAGTGTTGCCATGGTTACTAAAAATAGAAATTTCTCTGAAATACTTTGAGACTACACTGAGATACATAATTGTCTTTGGGTTTTTTGTTATTTTGTTGATTGATGTTTCCATGGTAACTAAAATGGAAAATTCTGTAAAATTTTATTAAAAGCTTCTCCTACAGTAGTAATCTTATTGCAATCTTGCCACAAGAAGAGATCATTATTTTTTTTTTTGCTTTTGTAAAGTTTCAAGTTCCAACTGCTACTTTTCTCTTCCTTTGTTACAAGTATAAACCAGTAGAGCTACAGAGACTTCTGGTTCTTGAATTTTTCTTTATATTTCCCCCTTTAAATTTCAGGCAATTAAACCATAACAATTTAGTGCAGCTATATGGAATTGTAACCAAAAAGCGCCCCTTAATTATTGTTACAGAACTTATGCAATATGGTAAGTTAAATAAAGTTATGGCAGTATAGTCCATGCCTTTGTTCTTCATGATCAATATTCATTTGTGGAAAGTATGAGATAATACCATCAAGTAAGATGAATATCATGTACAGCAAAACTTTGTTATAACGAAGTCACTGGGACCCCTGAAATTGCTTCGCTCTATCCCTAATTCATTATTACCATATAAGAAATTCATTAAGTTTATATAGCTGGGGATCATAGATGACTTAGTTATATCTGTGAATTCGCAATATCGGTGTTTGTACTAAATGAGTTTTACTGTACATATACAGTACTTTGTATCTTAGTGTGATTTAAAATCAGTTCCTCGATTAAAAGCTGTTGAACTAAACAACATACATGGTCATTTTGAGTGCTCTAGTGATATGAGTATGGTGTGTTTTGTTACCAGGATCATTGCTGTCCTACTTAAGGAGACACAAGGCACGACTGGCAAACAAGACAGCGACATTACTGGATATGTGTTCACAAGTCTGCAATGGAATGGCCTATTTAGAGAAGAGGAAGTTTATACACCGTGATCTGGCTGCCAGGAACTGCCTGGTAGGACAAAGCACTGTTGTCAAAGTGGCTGACTTTGGACTCGCAAGGTACTTACTAAAAGTCTTATAAGTATTGTTTGTTGATGTTCTCTGTTTGTACATTTTGGTATGTTGAATGTACCAAAAAGATAGACAATGTATAAATGTACAATTGCCTTTTTAACCCCCCACATGGTGAATATACATGTAAAAGTTTCTGTGTGACAAAGAAGATTTTTTTTTTGTAGATATGTGATAGATGACGAGTATACTAGTTCAACAGGGACTAAATTCCCAGTCAAGTGGGCACCTCCAGAAGTACTGAGTTTTACCCGCTTCAGCAGCAAGTCTGACGTGTGGGCGTATGGTAGGCTAACCTTAATTATCATGATTATAAATGTCATGGAATTTATTGTTCTAAAGTAGAACCCTTTATTCTAGTTGCAAGTCACAAGATTAAGCCCCTCCCAAAACAACTTGTCATTGATGGTTTTAATGATGAAGTCAGTTTACTAATAATCCATAGAAGCAGTAATACTGTATTTGTTTTATCAGTCTTCACTGTTCATGGTTCCTACTCATTCTGTTGAACAGTTAGAAATATTTTATTAGAATAATGTTAAAAGTTTAGCTACAGGTCTGTAGTGTTATGGTTTTATATATTTGTCTTTGACCATAACGCTACAGATCCCGTATTGCAAAAAAGGTGCAATTTACAGTGCAATATTTTTTGCGCACTTCTGGTGAGAATTTCTCCTCTTTCCAGCATCTGTCAATTAACTACCTTTCAACCCCTAATTCTAGGCACATTATTTAACTAATCAGTATATTTTATCCATCCCCCAACCCTTTATAGTCGTCTCTACAAGTGATAAACTCACTTGATTATAATTATTTGTTAGATTGCTGAAAATTAACTTCAAGCGAGGTTAATGCCTGTTGAGACAGCTATAAATGGTTGGAAGGTGGATAAAATATACATATTGGCTACAGAATTTGTCTAGAATTAGGGAGTGAAAGGTAGTTGATTGACCAATGCTGGAAAGTGAAGAAATTCTCCCCAAAAGTATGCAAAAAATATTTCGCCGTAAATTGCACCATTTTTTGCATTACAGGATCTGTAGCGTTTTGGTCAAAGTCAAATATATAAAACCATAACACTACAGATCTGCAGCTATTAAAAGTTATACTAGCAGTGCTATATGATATTACCTTGAGAGATAAGCTTCTTTTTCTGTTTCAGGTATCCTGATGTGGGAGATATTTACTGGTGGAGTAATGCCGTACGACAAAATGAAGAACGTGGAAGTCGTGGACTATGTTTGTCATTCTAGACAGCGTCTGGAAAAGCCATCAAACTGTCCTGAGAAGATATACAAAGTTATGCTTCAATGCTGGCTCCATGTATGTGCTTCATTTAATTGAATGTTTTTGTTTGTTTTTTTTAAATCAAAATCTGAGAGTCAATGAAGTTATTGCACCTATTGCTATCCGTTTTTATCCATCGGGCCAACTTTAAAATAATGTTTGCTAGCCCTCTCCTGTATCAGGGTAAAATTATTGGGTCAGTAGGTTGGTGGAAAAATCTTTTTTCCAGAAATTGCAAAGTATTTGTTGACGGGATAAGAGGAATAAAAAAGGAAAAAATAATTTGATATGGAATGCATGTATAATAAAAAGTCTTGAGTCAAGTCATTTTTAGTCAGTTTGTCAGGAGATGGCTATCAAACAATTATTTTTGAAGATGGCCTTGTGCATTTCTCATAAAATTGAGGATTTTTCAGTTATTTACATATTTTACAAAATATTTATATATTATTAAGGTAAGAGTGGTAGCCATTGGACCTTGTATTTGTATCACAAGGGTTCTGTTGAATTTATCATCACAGTGTACAATGGTTTGATAATGAAAATGTGCCATACTATATATTTTTATATTTTTCAACAGGAGCCAGACAAAAGACCATCTTTTAGTGACCTGCTGCAACTTTTGGGTGGATTATTGGAGCAAGGTAATTATCCCTTCATAAGTACCACATGATTGCTTGGTGAACTTGAACACTCATGGCATTGCTATCAGTAAGTTGCTGAACACAGCTCTCGGAGGAACCTCAGTGATGAACTAATCTTCTGCCAAAGCTATGTGTCAATTCCTATTTCTTTTGAATTTGACCAAAGGTCACAAACGAGCACTTGCATGAAACCAAACATCGAGAAAGGATATTGAAATACTTGTACGTTATTGGATTTTGCATTTGATTATAATACTGAAAGAAGAAGACTTCATGTGTCTTTAATTTAGCTTTATATGTTGGTGGTTATTAGTGTACTAATAGTAAATTATAACAAACTTAAGTGATATATAATAATAGACTTGAGTGATACATCTAAATAGGAAGCGCTTGTTGACGACTACTCTGCTTGACTGATTCTTCATTTTGAATGCACACATCCCCCACCCCTTCATATTCTAACATTATTCTTTAAAAGTTAAAATGAAATTTTGATATTTTTTTATTCCGTGTTTACATGTTTTTTGGAAAGGAGAAAAAAGTTTGAAATTTTGGTTTTATGATATCTTTGTAAGTATTTATTTGACTTTTTTTTTTAAGTTCCTAAGAATTCATACCTTTTGATATATATTTATTATATTTTATACTGATGTTTACACCTGTCCAATACATTTGTAATGTATTTGCATCTTTCCTACATTTCAGTGGCAATGTATATGTAGGAATAAGCATGTTTTTATTCTACACAAACATGATACTGCATGTTTCTGTGCATTTTATGACAAAGTTTTGTTCATACAGTTTACAAATGCTTTAAAATACTGACCAGTGCTTCCAAACTTTCTGTCCTAATGTGATATTCAATGATTACATTTTCCAGTTAAACATACATGTATATATTGAATTTGTATGCATACCCAGTTTTACTGATCTCTGTTCTGCTGACATTAGAATGCTTATTCTTCTCAGTGTCTTGCATACAGAATTTTATTTGTTCATATACATGTATATACAGTGTAACCTGTCTAACACAACATGCACTAGAGACATTTTTGTGTCAGAATAGACAGTGTCGGTTTTCACAGTGTAAAACACATGGAAAATAGTAAAATGGGAAAAGAAATTTAAAATCGGAATAAACAGTACGATGGAGTGCACAGATGTAGGATTAGACAGTTTTCACTGTACACAGTGTATATAATAGACATATATAAATGACCTCTATTTTTTTTTTTTACATTCATCTACTCTTATTTTCAATTGACACTTTGCAAGTTTTAATGCTTTTTATAAAAGATCAAAATTTAACATTATACTTTGGAGATTTTAATACATGTATTGACAAAATGTTTCAGTCTGACACTTATTAGCCACAATGTTCTAGACACCATAGTTTAATTTTACCTATAAATGTTGATGACATTAATTGTATTTTATAAAGATATAATAATTCATTTCAACTGTCTTTCTATATAATTACAATGTACATAGTAGAGAAAATATCATATTTACCATAGAGAATTGCTATTTATTTTAATAATGTATTTGAAATGAGAGGCGGACCATCTTTTTATATGCATTTGTAAAAGGAGTAGTTTTATTGAATACTTATGGAACCAGAAATTGTCTGTGATGTTCGATGAGAAAGAATTGTCATATAATTTGTTTACATATTGAATACAACTTTTTTTGAAATGGAAAAACAGTTTTTGACAGACCAAGCAAATGCTTTTCTAGTGCCATGTGTGCTTTTATCATGCAAATCATAATTATTGATATAAATGAATAAGGTTTAAAACTAGGTTTTATTCATATTTATGGGGTGTATTTTGTATTTCAGATTGATTGTCAGAACATAAAATTGATCTGCGTCTTGAATGTAAGAGTTTTTAGACATGTATTTAAGGAGTATAATTTAACACTAAAAAATAACAAGTTCTTAAATTATTGTAAATATCATCAGGTATACTTGTTTTAAACACTGCAGTACATGCCATTTTAGTACCTGATACAGACATTTGATGTAAAGTTGTTTTTTTTTTAATGTATGAATGGATACATCATCTTTTTAATGAAAGAAATGTTATTGTAACATCTAGGTTTTTATTGTCATTTTTTTTTTAAAGAAAAGAAAATACATGTTTAGATACTCATCTGATCTGACAATCTTTGTAGAAGCCATATAAGCATAACATTTTGCTTCATATTTTAAACATCGTCAAACATTTGGTCATATACTCAATATCCATAGGGGCTGTTTGTATTTTTTTGCTCCATCCATAACCTTTTTTCTCATGGGTATTGAAGATGCATACATCATTGAAAATGCACTTTATTATAGAAATATCCACATTATTGCAGAATTTTGAAAAATTGGTTTAAATTTTCATGTTCTTAAAGTCAGGATGAGGAAAGCAATTACATGTCAAAAAATTATCTAGAGCATTAACACATTGCAATTCAACCATTGCAAAAATTAATTTGCTTGCAATATACTGTAGAAGTACTTTTTTCTGCATGGTATTATTTTACGCTATGTACGCGGTCACAAATTTTCCGCGGAAATTTGTCTAAGCGTACTTAATATTAATGTAAGGCATATAGTGACAGTTTAAGAAATCTGCGTAATTTTCTATCCGCTGATTAAACAGAAATGGTGATTCCGCGGAATTATAACCCCACAGAAAAAAGTACGTCTACAGTAAATGAATGATATCAACTACATTTGAAATATTGTTTCATGTAGTTCAATAACAGTATCTGACAATAGTAAAAATAAGACTGTTTTTAACAATAGTCTTGTAAAATATTATGTACATGTATCTACAATAACATGTTTTTCAAACTCATTCAATCAATTTGTAAATGCAAGTTCATGCTGCAATTCACAAAATATAGCTAAGATTTTGATGTAATTATGAAGTACATGGTTAATACATGTATGTGTAAAATATTACAGATGTTTTTAATATCTATATTAGCCTTGTACTACTGTGATTCTGATTAATGAATTTGTTTTCATAAGTCTCAAGATCATTGTTTGTACTTAATATGATACATAATTTTTTATAGCAATGCCACATTCTTCCTCTTACAGTTGTACTGTTAATGTATTATATTTCTTTATAATACAAGTATAAAACTATTTAAAGATTTTTTTCATTAATATTATTGATGTTCTGTCTCACTCCCAGTTGGTTCTGAATGGTATACTTCTATACTATTTAGATATCACTGATTGATAATTGTAATCAACTTAAAATCTAAACCTCAAAACCACAAGTCTTGGATGATACTGTAGCTCCAAGGGCTTCAATTCGTTTTACTCTGAGTTAAGCTTGTGCCATTTTTTTGAAGCTGACATTGACATAATTAGTATCATGACATTAGTATCATGACATATTATTCAACCCAGACAGCTGGGAATACCATACTACAAGTCTTTTTGACCTCAGGCCAAAAAGAATCCTGGAACGAAAAGAACTCACACATGCATTATCCACACAGTGCCAGGGGTTCTGATGGAGTCAACACATTGCTGTGGGACTCTTGGCCAAAGGCAACGTGTTGACACAGGACCCTTGGCATTGCAAGGTTGCACATGGTAATACTGGGAGAGGACAAAGTAATGTCAGTATCACAGGTGAAAGCTCCTGTAAGTACATTATTTTCCACACTGCTTATTCATCCTGTAATTCAATATCAAAGTTTACATCATAATCCGCTGTTTCTTGAAGCTCCTCTAGATCAATGTTCTGGTCTATGTTACTTATATAGCCATTTCTATACAGGCAGGCAGTTTTACACATGTCATAAAAAATGAACATCAATGCATGGTAGGGACCAGTCTAAAATAAAATAAGTATAACATCAGTATAAAGTAGCACACAAGATTTTTAGAACAATACAGATTAGCACATAAGAGTTTTAGAACAGTACTGAATAGCACATAAGATTATTAGAGGACTAGTTGAGAAGAATTTGCATTTTAAACAGTTGACATTGTCTGAACTTAAGTCTGATTCAGTTTTAAAAGCAGCCAATTACATTCTTAAAAGTCTTTTTTAACATTAGTCATAGAGATTACTTTATCAATAGTTGGATATATTATGTTGTTTATACCCTGATAATCGCAGGTAGAAGTCCTTGCCAGAGTCCTCTAATACCAGAGGATGCTACTGTATTGATAATGCAAGTTCGAACATTAGAGAAGTAAATCCCCACTCCACCATTGTTTGGTAAAGCACTGCTTTTTGCCTGAAACAGGATCTAATTATTAAGTGCATTAAATCACTTGAAGTTTCAAAAATACAATATTCAGTAGTCCTATTTCTACTAAGACTAAAGAAACTCAAGGGCATATTCTATATGGCACAATGAACAACTGCTTTTTTGCAAAAAATGTTATTTCTGCAAATTTTGCCTGGCCTGAAGCCCTGAATGCTGTTGAAATGTAATGGATGGTAACTAGTCCATTGTAAAACTTCCAGAACTCATGAGCACTGTTTGCATTGAGTATAAAACTTTGACCTTTGATTTCATGGATGTGTAATTAGAAAGCCATAATCAAAAGTTATGAAAAGAACATATAACTTCTTAGCCATGTGATTTTATCATTTTGACTATAGACAAATAATCATAACAGACATTTGGGTTACAGCCTTGCAACCTTAAATTTCTATCAAGAATTACCCAAAGATGCTCTTCAAATACAAAATTTTGTCTTTGAATTTTACATTCAGCTTAATGACCTTATCATTTTCTTTTTAAAAAAAAAACTCTGTTAAGTGATAAAACATATACCGGTACATATGCCATCCTTATTTGAACTTTGTTAAGGTTTCTTATAAGTGTAGACTAGACATTTTAAAACTATGATCCAAATTTATACCGAATAAGGCTATGTTTCAAAGAACTGCGAACGATAGTATTGTTCTCCCGCCTACCTCCAAGTCAATTTTCAAAAGTTAACATATTCGATGATTTTTTAAAAATTTTTATTGATTATATGGATTTTCATAAAACATTTACTCATTTGGGAAAAGAGAGATAACTCTAAAATTTGGTAAACTTGTGGAAAACGGAAAATGTTTTTAAAACATCCCTCCCATGTCACAAAAATTCCTTTTTACGAGTAATATGAAATGTTATTAATTCACAAATTCATACCAAAGCTTTTTGTGTGACATGGGGGGGGGGGTATGTTTATTGACAAAAACGATAAAAATGCTTATTCTCCACCAATTTCAAAGCGATTTACAAAAAAAAAACGTTATATTTTACATATATATTTATGGTTTATTTATTTGCCTAAAACATAAGAAAAGATGTAAGGAGCATTTAATCATATCCAAGACTATTTCAAAATATGGTGATGCTTGAAACTCCGATTTCAATGGAAAATATCGTCTATCCCTCTTTTTCAAGAGCTGGAATTATGGATAATTTACTGTTAAGCGCTGATATTAAGACAATTCATCAATTACCATCGAACTGTTCTTTGTATTAAACAAAGATTTTATGGCCAAATTGCTATTTATATTGAATTAAAGGTTCCAAAATGTAAGTTAGCGTGCGTATTTCTTTTTAAACTTTAATCCATCCACTAACTGCAGACACACTTTGTGTGAATATCTTTAAAATTTGACCCACTTCTGTTTGATAAAAAAAAACTAAGCTGTTAACTTCGCATAAAATTTTCATTGAAAGTCCCCACCCTTCTCCATCTTTCTTTAGTGTAATCTGTTTTTACTTCTCAGCTTTTTCAAGAACCTTTTCTTTTTTGTTTATCAATTATATTCTAACACCCTTACCTCTTTGAAAAAATACGATGCTAATTATGTGCCTGCAGATAACATATATATAAATTCACAGATTGCAAAGTGTGATTAATTTCTACAAAAACTCAGTACCTGCATTCTCTTTCGAATAAGATCGAATGGGAAAGTGACCGTAATGACGAGAGAGGAAGCAGCTGAGCCCTGTAAGACCAGTTCTATTGGACGTAGCCTACGGTCCCACCAAAGACTGTCTAGTGCTTCATACGTCAAAAACGTACAAAATGCGTAAAGAATGGTGCCTATGATATACAAAATAGAAAAGCATACATTAATGTAAATTTCGTATTTTTTTTTTTTGGCTCATTGAACAATACGACATTCCTATAAATCATCTCCATATATTCTTATCTAAGCTCGATTCTACCCAAATATTTCATAAGATTCAATGGCCCGTACATTCCTCTGTAAAATTTAACCTCCCAAAAGGAAGAGACCTTTTACGTATATATGGCAGTATATAGAAATGTTTCGCGGTTACCCATCTGATCTTGGAATATGTGGCTTAACAGGCACTTAGTATCGTTTGTGAAAGTGGGTAGGGGGCAGCCAAACTAAAAATAATCAACATACCTTAAAAACCCGACAAAGAAACAAAAAATGAGGTAGATAATTATCACTATTTGACCATGCTGCAACAAAATGTGCACTTGGGGGAGAGGGTATCAGCCGTTCAAAGAAATTTTTTATTAGTAAAAACTAAAAAGTATTGTTGAAAACGCGGGGAAGCAGGCAAGCAGCCCCCCCCCCCCCCCCCGATCCGATACTACATGCCTGGTGAAACCAAGATTTATGTGCTGCCATATATAGGCTTCAGTTTCATTTTTTTTAAATAAATATTATTTATATCGATTCGTATCTAAATTAAAGTATCCAGGTTCTATAATAAATCGCAATAATTAATAATTCATTATCCCAGTTGTTGTTACTAGTACTATTTTTAAAAGTCCAGCATAAGAAAATTGCCCTGACCTTCGGGAACTGGAATCTCCCTAACAATAGGTCACATACATATCGTATGCATGTTTACATCATTCAAGTTCTAGCCTATATTGTAAAAATTAAACCAAAAAAATTAATAAATAAATAAAAAAATTAAAAAAAAAAAAAAACCCACCAAGCGTGGCTAGTTTAGCCTCTGCTAAACCTTTTGATTTCAAAATCAATAAGCGTTTTCTTTAGGCCATGGGGGATTGTCGTGTAAAATTTTATTGCAAAGTTCAAAGACAATTCTTCAGATATCGCTTGGAAACGAAATTAACTTAATTAAGTCTTACTGTTACAGACAGAAATAAAGCCGAACTGAGGGGCGGACAGAAGGACGGGGGACATAAAGGGAGTTATCATTATGGTTCAAAAACTCAAAAGCTTCTTGAGATAATGCCCGGAAATGAAAGTTTTACACACAAAAAAATGTATGAATTTAGGACCTTGACCTTTTGACTTCAAAACAAATAAATAGGGGGTCTTCTTATTGCAAAGGATTTTCCGAGATATCACATAGAAAGGAAAGTTTTAAAACAGACTTATTTTTAAATTTATGACCTTGACCTTTGACCTCAAAATCAAAAGGACCCTTCCTTAGGCCATAGGGAGTTATTGTGTAAAATTCCATTGCAAAAGCTCAAAGGCTTCTCGAGATATTGCATGGAAACGAAAGTGTTAAAGACGGACGGACAGACGGAACAAAATATTTATATCCCCCACTTTCAGCGGGGATTCAAGGATGCCTGGGTTTCTGATTGACAATGTCTATGTAGTTTTGGTAGATCAGGTCTTACAGCAATCTGTTAAAATTCCCATGGGTACCAATTGCGCCCCGTTCCTGGCAGACCTATTTTTGTATTCATATGAAGCAGAATCTATTTTTTAAAAAATTCTGCATGAGAAAAGGGAAACACAAGTTTGCTGTGACCTTCAACTCGACATTTAGATGTAAATCAACGACCTTTTGTCACTAAGTTTCTTCCATTCATAAGTTGACTTGATCTATTCCGACTGAAGAGATTGAAAAAAAGATACTACAGAGTTTGACATCTGTTTTATATTTGAATATTTTTCCAGAAAAACTCGTAAATGGTAACCTAACAACCAAGCTTTAAGATGAATGTGATGACTTCAATCTTTTAATCGTCAACTTACATAAATATGTATCACATAAGTGAGTTTTGTCCGCAATTACATGTACCAGAATATACCCTATAGGCCTATTCGCCAATCGGGTAATCCCTATACCCTTATCACTGACCTGATATGGATTTCGATACCCAAGAGCATACTCTATGAACTTAAATTTGTCTCTCGTCTCGAACCATCACCGTTTCAACGGTTTTAAAAGTGGGATCGGATCGGGTTGGGATGGGTGCTCAACCTCCAAAAAGATGACAAGAAACCTCGCATCAGACAGCATAAAAAAGGTGGGACAAGTTGGGCAACAGGCCTCGATAAATAAAAAATTACAACAGCAAATTATTAATTTATACTAAAAAAAGTGGGAGCCGGGAACCATAGGTCTATGTCCCCCGCTCTCTTCCGCGTTCTACGGACATGCGAACAGCTGGTTCAAGAACATTTTGCCTGTCCAACTGTGCATACTTTTCACTCTCATAAGAAGAAGAGTTCTTGATAAGGGAAGTAAATCGACAAAACTCGTCAGATTTGTTTTTTTTTTTTCGAACGAGAGTCGAGACGATAAAAAAGTCTTGATTTGACATATTTACTCCCAACCAATTCAAGTTAATCGCTTATAGTAATCGAATGAGAAAACAGTTTCATGAGTTTGCCCTTTTTATTTTACGCTACCAACTTTATAACATTAAATACCAGAAGATATCATGATATAAGGCCTATAGGCTAATGACATACCCCATAGAGAAGGCCATAAGCCATTATACAGGGTTCGTGGACCTTCTGTTTTTATGATCGTGGAGGCTGCATGTGCGATGCTCTTATACACTGCCCCTTGTTGAATCACAAGTCTTGTTTTAATCAAATCCAGCGGGTAAGTAAACGTAGTAGCAGTCAACACCGAGAGAGTGGCTGCTAAAACAGATCCCGATACACTCAAACGCCCGAGGTCATCTGAAATGTACCAACGGAACTTTCTGTAAGACCACACCTGAACAGCAGAATATGGAAATATTTTAACACATGCTGTGAAGTTGCCTCTGAAAAATCCTCTTCCGCCTTCTACAGAGTAAATATGTTTACAAACAGAGAGAAGTCCGATCTTGGGACCTTTCACTTGACAGATGATCTTGAGGACGTCCAGTGGGGAAGTTATAGTGCGACTGAGAACGCCTGCTACCGATCCACATAAAAAGTTTTGGAGGTATGTAATTCTATGATCGTCTGAAGTCCACATTGCAGTTTTAAGCATTAAAAAAGCAGACGAAATGATTATTTGGAACACCTCGGGCATTTACACTTTTATTAGTATTCATTGGCGGATCCAGAAAGGGGTGGAACATCTGCGATCCTCAGCCTCTTAAAATCCGGCGTCGAATAATTGAAAATACTTGCACAAATCTCTCTGAATTCTCAAAGTAACGTTCATTTATCCATGGAAATTCTTCAAACTTCATCATTAATGTTAAACATATTATACAGCGAAAATATGTAAATTTCAAATATATTTTCAGAAAATGCGAATGATGGAGATGTCACCACTTAACCGGTGGAGAACTACAAACTTTGTCCTAATCTATTGAGTCTGTATATATAATTGGCACTTGAGGCCGTTGAGCAGGGTGGGATCTATTTCGTGAGAGCACCTACTGCGACATGGGAGTCTCATCCGACTGACCGGTCTCCACCACAGGCCTTTAGATCGCTTAGAAAAAAAAATTGAGGTGTTGAAAAAAAAATATTTTTTTTTTACACACAATTTTTTTTTTTCAAGCGATCCAAAAGCCTGTGGTCTCCACGACTCAAAGTGGGATTCGAACCCACGACGTAAGGATCAACTCCTTGCTTCGCGACTCTAAAGTAGATTGAAAGATGATCAACAAATTACATTCAGAGCTCCAGATAATTTTTTACCCCAAAGTGTATTTACTCCCTGATTTTCAAATCAATGCAGATTTTGATTTTCAGCAAAATTGAAGAGTATTTTGTTTATAGTTTATAGATATAAATGTTTAACATTTTAGTCTAAAAAAAAACTGTATATTATGGTGGCATATTTCTGCCCCCTTCATGCAAGATAAATTATGTTAACATGCAACATAATTATGTAGATCTGCAACATATTTAATAATAATAATAATAATAATAATTTATTTATTATAGTGACTTGTGTAATACATCATGAGATAGTTCATCTTAAATATAAAAATACAAATACTTTACACCCGGCCCTTTGGACCTATAAGTCACCTGGATTTAAATCTTATACATCATCTTCACGGACTTATATGTATGGACATTGTATGTACATGTAAATCGTTAATATCAATTTGTGCTCCTGAGAATGACAAATTATGCTTATCAAGATAACATTTTACTGTCACGGACAGATGTCTATATCAATGATAATGACTAGAAATGCTCTTGTTGGTCATGTTGGTCAATTTGCACTGCTTGTAGGGGTATGATTCGTCCACTTGCATTGACCCGTAGTAATCTCCCCTGTTCCCGCGGTAAATTTCTCAAGATGGTGCGTGCATTTATTTCCATTAACCGTTCAATGCGAGATTTACTGCTTCTAATAAAAGTTTCTTTGTATAAATCGGTGTCTTTTAACTTCATTTTGTTTCTAAGCACACAGATTTTTAGACGGAGGCTTTATGCCTCCGCTCTATTGGTATCGCTCATCTGCGGCGGAAGGGAATTTGCGATCGCCATCTAGCGGCAAATCACGTTAACTTTGATTAGCCTGGTCCCCCGGCTCATTCTTTCCAAGGCAGGGGTACATGACGCAAAGCAGTGACAGGGAACCAGGCTAAACTTTGATAAACTGGCCTGCCTGTCTGATATCGGATATGCGCTGTATACAGACAGGTGATCAGTAATGTTTCGAGTCCGCTGCTGACACGCTCATTGGCTGATACATAGAATTTAAATTGTCGGGGAAACCAAAACAGATCACCGAGTGCAGTTCTCTGCATCTGCTTTTGATGCAATTAATCTAATTCGGTCACAATATTTTCCACATACAATACATAATTCTTTTTTTTTTCTCATGGACCTATAATTATCTCACACCTTTCACCTCGCCTGAGGGGTTTTTTTTTATTAGTTTTCGAGGGTCCTATCACATTAATACCCTACATTACCTAGAAATCTGCATCATTGTTTAATTGAAACTGACATATTTTAAATGTTCACTCACTGACTCAGCAGAGATCTGCGGCTTATCTGTTTATAGCACACAGAATTTCTGCTGCAGCTTTTTTTAGAATTCCTTATCACATGCTTGCAAAGTATATAGATGGGACAAACTGACCCACATGTTTCAACGTTTACATGACCAAAACAGTGGCTTGAATCTAAATTTAGTAATATATGGCTAACCTGTGCAAAAAAGGAAGCAATAAAACACGGGTACCCATAAAACTCTGTTGTCATGGAATCTGCAATTGCCCACAAAAAATATATGCAAGGAGTTGAATTTATTAGATTTCCCAAACCTTGGAGAGATATTGAAAAAGTGTCAAGGATAGGTGAATGCTTGTAAACGGTTCATTGGCGGATCCAGGGGGTCCGGGGGGTTTGAAGCCCCCTTTATTTTTTGTCAAATGAAGAGAGAGAGAGAGAGAGAGAGAGAGAGAGAGAATGAAACGTTTTCCGAGAATAAATTAAAAAAACATGTATTTGTACGTCTAACTTATATATTGAATATATAGATATTAGATTCTCACACATTATTAAGTTTCTTCCACTCTTATATTCCTTTTTTTATGAAAGAATAATATAGAAAATATTCTACTTATTTTTATATATATATATATATATATATATATATATATATATATATATATATATATATATATATATATATATATATGTGTGTAATTAATGATATATTATGTATCATGCGAGGTTTAATTTGATAGTAATTTTCCGCAATCTTTGGCTGTGTTGACTATATATATATGTACCGTTTTTAATCATATCTTTTGAAGGAACTAACATGCAACTCTTTGTTTTAAACCCAACCCGCACCCCACCCCAATTTTTTTTTCAAATTCCAAAAGAAAATTCGTTGTACTCTTTTGAAATGCTGCAAATCCATTCAATTTTAAGGCTTCGGTAGTTTTTTAAATTCTTTTTTTAATTCGGACTAGAGGTACCATTTCAAAGAAATAAATGGACGTAAACAGATATTATTTACCGAAACCTAGGATCTTCCATACGTGTGTGTGAATCTTTGCTTGAGAGTGCTTTTAGGTGGGGGGGGGGGAGGAGTATAGGGACAGTAAAGCCCTGGAACCCCCCTTTCAAAAATGGCTGGATCCGCCTCTGAAACGGGAAGGATTTTCAACGAAATTGGGTATTATCCGTAAAATCGCGTATAATACTGGATATAAGGGTATCGTTGAATCCGCGATATCTAGTAAAGGCGGTGTAATCACTTTATAAAACTTAAACAATGGGATGGCACATTTTGCGGAGTCAACTTTCACCCAGATGCAAATGTTTTCTAAAGGTATCACCTGTCAATCTATGCATTGATATATCTGAATGCTTGTATCTCAGCTCCTTTTAGTCCTGAAGAGTTAGATATACTAAAGTACTTTTTGGCTTTCTCACATTTCAGGAAGCTCTTACCATGAGTCACTAAAGAATTCAAATTAATATAGTTTATTGCAATTAGAGTGGTTTGCCTTTTGATGAAAAAAAGGAATTCGGTAAATTACATAATTAAACATCATACCACGATAACATAAATGAAGATGTGTTTGTGAAACACTGTTGCCCCCTGTGTGGTAATACAGCGAAGATTAAACTTTTCTTTAATGCAAATTTAATATAATGATACCAAAAGCAGGGTATTTTTACTGGAAATACAATTGTGAAATATGAAAGTAGGTTAAGGCTAAAGTTACTCCCTAGGTACAAAAATCTCCAAGGTAAAGGTCAAGGTCATGACTGTTGGTATGCAATGAAAAGTCTTTTCACAAAGAACACATATGTGAAGTATGAAGCCCTAACCCTTCAAAAGTTATGACAAAGGATAATTTTTTTTCAAAGTAGGTCAAATGTCTTGCTATAAAATGAAAGGTCTTGTCGTAAGGATTAAATATATAAAGTATGATAGCACTAACCCTAAAGCTTTAAAAGTTATGGTCAAGATTTGCTTTATAAAAGTAGGTCAAACTCCAAGGTCAAAGGTTCAAGGTTCTTTGTATCCAATGTAGGGTCTTCTTACAAGAATTATATATGTGAAGTATGAAAGCACTATATATCCCTTACCATTCAAAAGTCATGGCCAAGGTTAAAGTTTTTTCATAAGTATGGAATCTCGAAGGTCAAGGTCAAAAGGTCAAGGTTGTTAATATCCAATGAAAGGTCTTTCCACCAAGAATACATATATGAAGTATAAATGTCCTGGTACCTACTGTTAAAAAAATATGGCCAACTACCCTTAGGCAAATGTTGGGGTCAGAATATATGAATAAAAAATTCCCAAAGAGACAAACAATCATGTTCATTCTCTTGAGCAATATCTATAAAGCTATCTCATCCTTCAATGATCGTATCTTTTTTTCAACATTTTCCATCAAATCAGTTTTTAACTTTTCTAACTTGGACTCAAACATGCGCTTCATACTTTCCTGATTATTCTTCAAATCAAGAACTACAGATAATAGTGTTTCTAATTTTTCTGACACAGAGTCACAGCTTGTTTGGTTTGACGCCATGTTCAAAGTGGTGCCCTCGGCTTTAAAGTATTTACAATCGGGACTGACTTCACTACCGCTATTACTGCTGCTACTTTTGACCTTTTTCCTCTTCTTCTGCTTGTTTTGTCTATTTCCAGTCATTATATTTAGTTATGTCAAGATATGGCACTAGTTCATACGGTTTTAGATGCATTTTATACCCAAAACTCGGAGCACTGAAAATTAACGTCCATACACCAAGTCACGTGACATACACTGTCATGTTTATGTCAACATGCAAGTTAATTATGTTGACATGCAAGTTACCAATCTAAAAAGAAAATATAATTTTAATATCGGTAAATTTACTTACTACCGCCTGTATCTAACATTTTAGATGCAATATGCAACATATTTATGTAGACATGCGACTTTTTTATGTCAACATGCAAGATAATTATGTCAACATGCGACTTATTTATGTTAACTTGCAAGATAATTATATCAACATGCAGCTTATTTATGTCAACATGCAAAATAAATATGTTAACATGCAAGATATGTAAGTTGATGTGCAAGTTATTATCTTGCAAGTTGACATAAATAAGTTGCATGTGAACATAAATATCATGCACGTCTACA